ATTCATATAAAAATCTAACATTCTTATACAAAGGCCTGCAGTTCAAATAATCATGCATATACAAAAGCAACTCCCCTCATCCCACCCAACAGCAACCATAGGAAACTTTGGCAGCACACTAACGGCAGAAGAAAATCTGCTCAGTCCATAAAAGCCAGGTTTGTGGGAGCAGGGAGAGAGATACGTGTTTACCTGGCACCAAAAAGATGTCAGAGAAGGCATCAGGCAGACCTCACCAGGGAGATCATTGCACAAATGGGGAGTCATATCTGTATCTAAAAGTATCACACTCTTGGGAAATGTGTTTATTTATCTGACAAAAGTTTAGACCGTTTAATTCAGAAAAACAAAAAGCAAATCCGATCACACAAATGTTTCATAAGAATGGAATGTATGAGCATTCAGGTACAGGTAAAAGGAAACGAAGTGGAAAAACATGGAGCTGCAGGCTGGCTGCAATCCTAATCCCACTTCCTTGGGAGGGAGACCCATGGAATTCTATAGGACTTGCTTCTGAATGGTAAAGGAGAAAGGTAAAGGACCTGTGGGCGGTTGAGTCCAGTCAAAGGCAACTATGGGGGTGCGGCGCTCATCTTGCTTCAGGCCAAGGGAGCCAGCATTTGTCCACAGACGGCTTTCCGGGTCATGTGGCCAGAATGACTAAACCGCTTCTGATGCAACGGGACACCGTGACATGCCTAGACACATGTGCTGTGCCGCCACCATTCAATCAGCTCTCCCAGAGATCAATGGACATAGGTAAATGTTTGGCTGGGAACCTCAACCTCTTCTAGGTCCAAAATAAGCTAGCCTGGGTAACTTCTTGAACTAAATCAAATACATTTGGGGCCCTAGATTGTTATTCTGAAGAACATCAAAACAAATAAAGTTATTTTATTTGGGGGTAGAAGTGGATGAAGTTTGCAGGCAAGGCCACCCCTTGGGAGGACATGAATCCTGCCCAATCTCATATGGATGGCTGCTGTGGAAGAGCTGTTCCAGTTCTGAGATGGGGAAAAAAGAAATCAGCATCTCCTACTGTTGAAGAGATTTGCCCCAGGTAAGAAGCCTGCCAAACAGATAGGTTGGGGGATACCTTTAATGTGGATTTTCTGGGAGACGAGCTAAATGGTTCATAACATCGACATTTAGGATTATTCTTCTTCAGCATAACACCTTCTCCAGATTTGATTGCCACGTGGTGATGGGTACCTCATCCCCAAAGACCTTTATCTTACTTATATGGCTTTTCACTTTGTTAGTTTTTGTTTTTTAAAGAAACAGCTGTTGTTCACAATACTATTTCCTCTCAATGTGCAGCTGCACTGTTAGCCATTTTTCTCTATTTTATCCTCCTCAAATAAATCCAGCCAGTCAGGGTTCACATGCTGGGTGTGGTGACACTATGAAGCCAATTCAGTGTATCTATATGCTGGTATCACTAAGGGGAAATAAAACCTAAAGAGACAATCACTTCCTGAATGCATTGCATGAGCAATTCTAGCCAAGTAGGGTTGATCACTTGAACAATAAAACACAGAAGGCCCATGCCCCAGGATGGCTTTCATTCATTCATATACACTTGCATGCTGTGTGGGAAGCTTAGATTAAATATAACTAAGTTTTATTTTAGCACATTAATTCCCTGCACTTAAATGTGTACATATGACGAGTTTCTTTAAAACCAGCAGGCAATTGGAATAGTAACCTCCAATACAACAGGTACATCCATATCACAGAATTGTAGAGCTGGAAGAGACTCCAAATGTCATCTAGTCCAAGCCTCTGCAATGCGGGAATCTCAGCCAGAGCATCCATGACAGGTGGCCATCTAGCCTCTGCTTAAAAACCTGCAAGGAAGGAGAGTCCGCCACCTTTTGAGGGAGTCCTTTCCACAACCTATTTTTTAAAGCAAACTGCTGTAGCAAGCATCTAAATATTACAGATGAGTTCTAGCCTGAGATCTCAAGTTGTTTGCCATGGAGGCACAGTCCATGCAGTACTGTATGTAGTTCAAAAGGCGCAGGCTGGTGGTGGGCATTGCTGGTTGGCCTCAAAGACTCCAACGCCCCATGAAGGAGCAGAGTTTTTAAAGGTAAGACATTGCCACCTGCTGGCACGATGCTTTAACAGCATGTGTAAACAAGCAAAGATTTGCATAAGCAAATATAGAACAAAGGCTTTATTTGTCTTGCCTAACCCATCTAAACTAAGAGCGCCATTCAGTGATTTGGGGGGGGATCACTCTTTTATACAAAGCAGCTGATGTGAGCAACATGCAGCAGCTGACAGGGGTTCTTGACCCTTTGGGTGGCAGGCTGTAGCCAATTGTCACCTCACATGTGGCATTCTGCAGGCAAACACTGAATGCATGGTCCATATGGCAGACCGCATGTAAAGAGGGTGCATAAAGCAGCATAAGAAAGGAATATCTGGATACCTGTGGTCATCTGAACTGTGCACCCGTTCTCATGTACGCACAATGCACCGTCATGCTATGACATTTGACTATCCTAAATTTGGGGAATATTGACATTCAGTGGGGAATACTGAGAAACTGAGATAAATTGTGTGACTGTCCAAAAAGGTACAGTGGGGAATATTGAAAACACCCACCAAACATTGCCCAGTGAATCATAGAACCGTAGAATTGTAGAGTTGGAAGGGACTGTTAAGTTGTGGGTGAACATATCAGATGACACAGCGATTCTTCAAACAGCTCTTGTTTATTCACAGGCCAGAACAGAACTGAACTGAAGGGTTCAGTCAGCCTGCTTATATAGAGCTCCAGTACCTTGTTACTGTAACAACTTTCTAAAACTATCCAATCACTGAACATCACTTTCAATTCCTTATTTGCATAACTATCTACAGTATCCCCCTGCTGGCCCAGGGTGAGAACTTCAGTACATAACAGGGACCCCGAGGGTCATCTAGTCCAACCCCCTGCAATTCAGGAATCTCAACTAAAGCATCCATGACAGCTACCTTCCAACCTCTGCTTAAAAACCCCCAAGGAAGCAGAGTTCACAACCTCCCTAGGAAGACTGTTCCACAGTCAAACAGCTCTTACTGTCAGAAAGTTCTTCCTGGTGTTGAAGATATTCATGGTTAACACTGATCTCCCGCCCCCACTTTTCAGGCATTTGGATAGTGGTCCACATTCACTGATATGTTTCTGAGTTTCAGAACATTAATAAAATTGGTGTGGGGTTCACCCAATTTTCTACCCTAAATGATGCATGCACACCTCTAATCGCAAACAATTTTAAGTGGAGCCTATTTTTGAATTGAAAGTAGGGTAAAGAACGAATTCAACATGTGAATGGCAGCCCAGACCCCATTTATGTAGTGCTGGGCCAAACATTCGCCTGTGAGAACTTGTGGCTCAAGATTCAGAGGCCGGGGGAGGGGGGCAGAGTTCAGGCTGAGTGAGATTTGCTTTCGATCCACTCCCAATTAGAGTTCCACTCCCACTGCAACTGATAACTAATCCCAAAGCTTGGGCTAAATTTCATCTGTCCCCTAGAATCAGTGAGATGAGATGGTGGAAGAAGATGCAGACAATTCCAGATGAGACTTTTAACATAATCGTCTGTAATCAAGGAGGAAGTGATGTGCCGTTGAAGAGCTATAAAAACACAAGAAATCTGCTGAATTTCCTTGGTCTGGGTAAATTGTCAGTGAGGGCACTTGTCTCTGGGCTTTTAGCCAGCTGGCCTGCTGCCTCCCACAGTATTTGCTCATGTTTGGATCTGAGCACCTGGTACTTTAAAAGCTGCTTATATGAGGAGCAAATCAGATGTGATGTACGAGATCCATGGCTGGGTGTTCTGACTCATGTGCAGGCGACTCCTCACTTCTGCAGGGATTACATTCTTGACCCCAGCGCACATAAAGTGAGGAAGAACAATCTAAACACCCTTTAAAACTCTCTGCCACTTTCTCTTCTATAGGTGCAAAAAATACTGCATCCAAAAATATCCGCAGCTAGAATTGCAGCTCTGGGGCTGGCAAGAGACTGGAAGGTGCATAGGATAAGCACTACCCTCCACATGAGCTGTTAGGTGGGGAGGCTGAGCAGCATTTTGAAAAGCCTCTGGTCTCTTCGGGGCTTTCTCCGCCCTGATGTCCTCTTCGGCTTCAGGAAGGGTCTCCTTGTGAGTCATGCTCTCTCCTGCCATTTCCAGGTTTGAACTGAATTACTTATTTCTCGATGCCACATGTAGACGCAGTTGTGTGCCAGTAAGTGAGGGAATGCCAAGAGAGAAAGCACACAAAATCTCATAAGAGCCCCACAAGATCTTGCCGTGACTCAGAAGTTGCCACTGCAGCCACGTCTTCTCCAGTGGCAGGGGGCTGGGCTGCAGCCACAGCAGCTCTGGGGAAGCTCTGCAGAAGCTGCAGCCATTTCTCCTCACTTCTGCAGGGACAGGCGGGGCGCCATCCCTTGGGATTCTGCCGCCCAAGGAGGCTGCCTCTGTCCACCTCACGAACAGGCTGGCCCTTCTATTATCCCCCAAAGGAGGAAAATGCAGGTTCTGTACTAAACATAGTAGAACCAGTGCTTTTTTTCTTGGGGGATGCAGGGGTACGCATACCCCTAAACATTTTGTGAATCTTTGCACTTTGGTCCATTTACTGTATTTATTTTTCCCAATTTGAACTATAAAATGGTGATTTTCTTGAATCAAAATGAGAGTACCCCTAAATATTTTTTTTAGAAAAAAGTACTGAGTAGAACGCATTTTGCATGTTCAAACCTATCATTCATTAGGTTCGCATCTTCAGTTCTTGGCATCTCCAGGTAGGTAGGATGGAGGAAGAATCATGCCTGAAACCCGGGACACGGGCTCCAAGTCAGCGTAGATAAGAGAAGCCTCAAGATGGTGCGTCGTCTATATTTCATTCCATTCCATTCCATTCCATTCTATTCTGTTCTGTTCTTTTCTGTTTTATTCCATTCCATTCTATTGCATTGTGTTCTATTCTATTCCATTCCACTGTATTCCATTTCATTCCCCGCCTTTTCCCCAAACAGAAACCAGGCGGCTTCCAGCAAAGAAACAAGAGCAGCCAATCACAGACCGCGCCACATTCCCAGGGGCGGAGCCAAGAGCAAGGGGCGTGGCCTGCAGACCGCCGTCGCGCGTCTGTTTTGTTTTGCCCCGCTGCTGCTGCGCGCACGCGCACTTTGGCGGGCGAAATAGCCCCGCCACCCCGCTCGCCTTACGGGCCGACGGTGCCCCTCTTTCCCCCGTGCGTTTCGTTGTCCCGCACTTCCGGCGCCGTCCTTTTCTGCTTCCGGGTTGGGGCGGAGAGGGTGGAGCGTCGCGGGCGCCGCCGCTGCTGCTGCCGCTGCCGCTTCCTCGGTAACCAGCCGCCGTGTGAGGAAGCGCCATGTCCAGCAGCGGCAGCGCCGTCGCCGCAACAGCAGCACCAGCAGCGGCGGCCTCGGCGACCACAGCCTCGCCTCCCGCCCAGCCGCCGCCGCCGCCCCCTCCGCCTCCCCCGCCGCTGCCTCAGCCGCAGCCTCCGCCGCCGCTCCCCGGGACCTCCTCGGCCGCCGCCGAGCCCGAGCTGGTCTCGCTCATCCTCAACCGCCTCAAGAGCCAAGGCCTCTTCGACCAGTTCCGCCGCGACTGCCTGGCCGACGTGGACACCAAGGTGAGGGGGGGCGGGGAGGGGGCCCTTCGGAGCCCCGTTTGCCCACAGACTCGCGCCCTCCGCCGCGCCCACACCTGGACCAGCCCCTGGCGGCGGCGGCGGCGGCAGCAGGAGGCGCTTCGGGAAACGCCCCCCCGTCGGACAGCAGAAGCTCTTCCTGTTGAGTGCCTGCCTGCCTGCCAGAGGCGTCGAGGGCTGCAGCTCGGGGGTGGAGCCTGTGCTTCTTGCACGCACAGGAGGGACCAGAGCCCTGTCCTTGGTATTAACGTTGTTGCTTTTAGGTTTATTTACACACACATACGCCCTGCCTCTCTCCCCCTCTCTCGAGGCGTTTGAAGGACGAGAATAAGAACTGCTGAAAACGTAGAAGAAGAAGGAAACTTTAATAGACTTAAAACCGTCCATCTGTCTATCAGAGGCGCCACGTTTCGCCTGACATTGGGGCGAGGGCCATGTGACGTTGTGCAGTTGCACGCACAACTCTTGAATCAGGAGGAAGCCCAGCGCAGAGCCCAGCCATGCAGCATGGCGATGTGCTTGGCCGCTGGCCTCTCCACGGCTGGCCCTGTTGGCAAAGTGAGCTACGCAGAGGGGGCAGTCATGATGGGACTTGTAGTCCCCACTTGGCAGGACCACTAGGCCCCAGAGGCAGGACTGGGAGGTGCGGCAGAGGCAGGGACCTGTTGGTCATAGGGCAGGGTATGACCAGAGGCTCAGGACTCTGGGAGCTCAGTCCCATCCAAGAGACTTTGAGGGGCTGGAGACACCTCTGCCCCCTAGAGTTGGTGTGTGTTTCTCAAACTTGGGTCTCCAGCTGTTGTCAGACTACAACACTCATCATCCCTAACTAGCAGGGGAGATGGGCGTTGTAGTTTGGAGACCTAAGTTTGAGAAACACAGATCTGTTAAAAGCATACAAATAATTACAGTAAGAAAAACAGCAGGGCACCAGCCCCTCCCATTAAAAGCAGTCTGTTCCTAAAGGCCTGTTGGAAAGGACAGCGAGACTGCCTAGCATCTCTAGGTAAGAAATTCCAAAGTTGCCTGGGAGCAGCCACCCCTGAGAAGGCTCCTCTGTGTGAAGCCCCAAACCTGCTGCCAGCCAGTGCAAGCAATATGGAGCTAGACTTGTTTTGAGGCAGCTTCCTGTGCTGCTGTGGCTCGAGGTGTGGAGTAGAAGCTTTGGGTTGGGGTGGGCAGCCGGCAGACTACTGGGCAGAGCCTGGCTGTGCCTGGCGGTTTGGGATGTGTGGCTTAATGGATGTGGGTTTTTACCTAAAAGTGAAAACAGAGACAAGTATAAAACAGCTCTTTCCCTTTAATTCTCCACCTTTGTGCTGTGAATTTGCTCCTTAACCAGAATTTTTAAGGTGAAAGTCGAAAGCATGAGGTGTCAGGTCAAACAGAAGACCTTGCAATCCTAGTTGCCAGGCAATTGAGAAAGATACCAAAGCTCTGCCCTCACCCGACCACTATTGTGAATACTCATTCATCTCCTGTTTTCCTCTTCCCTAGGCTAGTATCTTAGTGAAATAGATCTCACTGTGGTAGGAAATTTGTGGGGGGGCTGTACCACTTCGGACTGAAGGTGCAGACTCATATGATGGAATGATTTGCAATTCAAAAACATGCTTTGTGCGTAGAGAATTAGATGTTGAGGAGAACTAGGCTATTGTAGTATGCATTGAGTGCAGATTTATTGTTGAAAGGCAGCTAAAATTTCAAATAACAGTAGTGTGTGAGGATGTGTCTGCATCTATACTGCAAGTGCAAGAGAGTACTCCGTGCTCTTTTTTCCAGACAGAGGTGTAGGAACTCACCCTTGTTCTCTTACAATGGTGCCCACCTGAAAAAAAGCCATGAGATCTTGGTGTAAAACAAATTATGCTAAATTTCATAACAAGTCAACTTCAAGCCATGTCTGGCTTCTTAAAATTACCCTTGTGTAAACCAGAATCCTCAGGTTGAATATAAAACCAAGCAGGGATTTGATTGAAACAAAACTTTTTCTGGGTTGTATGCAAGCCTGACAGTTAGATTGGACTCATTCAGGCTTTTCAACATAGTGCTAAACCTGTCAGTTTGGATTTCATAGTGCAGAAAGTATTAATCTGATGTGTAGAGATCTTTCCTGTTCTGCTTAATTCAAGAGGGTTCTGGAAGCTTCTCTGTGTGAAAGAAACAAACAGAAGGATCATGATGTTTGTGTTACTCCTTCAGAGAAGCTGAGTACAGCTGGCTTAAACTGATTCTCTTCTCTTCTTCAAGGTTATGCTGACTATACTATAATAAGAGGCCAGAAGGAGCCTTGGTTTCACTTTCTCTTTCTATCTCTTTTCCTTCTGGTGTGGTGTTCTGTACATAGCATGCTTAGTGTTAAGGTTTAGTCTTATTACAGTGGTACCTTGGGTTAAAGATGCTTCAGGTTACAGACGCTTCAGGTTACAGACTCTGCTAACCCAGAAATCGTACCTCAGGTTAAGAACTTTGCTTCAATTTGAGAACAGAAATCATGCTACGGCGGCACGGCAGCGGCATGAGGCCCCATTAGCTAAAGTGGTGCTTCAGGTTAAGAACAGTTTCAGGTTAAGAACGGACCTCTGGAACGAATTAAGTACTTAACCCGAGGTACCACTGTATAAGTTATTGTAAGTTTAAGAAGTCTGCTGCAACTGGATTTCTTATGGACAGTGCCAATCCTGAATGTATTGGATTTGTGTCCATTATGCTCATTTTTCTTAAGTAGCAGTAAAGCTCTGCTGAATGAAATACAGTTGCCTCTGCTCTAATTTTTGGGGAATCCTACAGTGTGTTTAAGTTTTTACTCTGCTAACTATACATTGGAATCTGCTCTGGATCAATACTGAGTAGAATTTTAATGTCAAAACTATGGTTGGTGTTATATGTAAAGGCGGCCAATTTCAGCCAATATGGAAGGCTTAAGCAAGTGAGATACCTACTCCTGGCTTAAGACCTGTTGGCAGGGAAATGTTCTTTAAATTAAAGCATTTGTTCCTCTGCCCCAGTTAGAGAAGGCTGGTGTGTATTATGTATTTCCTCCCCCTTTTTAATTGAGTCACTTTAAGCTATGGTGTGTTATCAAACTAGACTAGACACATTAAAATCAGTGGGCTTAGTTAGTGACTAGCTTAAATCCATGGATTTCAGTGAGACTTCTACTGTGTATGAATAAGTGAGATCCCACCCATAGATCTTAAATTGCTTGGGTGTATTCAGCTAAGTTTTACTCAGAGTAGACCCATTGAGATTAGTAAATATAAGTTAAACCCATTAATTTCAATGGGTCTACACTGAGTTTAAACTTAGTTGAGTACCTTCCATTGTGTCTCATGAATGCCAAGGATATGCTAATAAGAAGTTTCACATAGCATTTCTCATTTTTCCTTTTAGCCTGCTTATCAGAATTTGAGGCAGCGGGTGGACAACTTTGTTTCCAACCATCTAGCAACTCATACATGGAGTCCTCACCTGAACAAGAACCAACTGAGAAACAATATTAGACAACAGGTTCTCAAGTAAGTTTCACTCCTTAAAATGCAGCAATGCCTAATGTAGTTGCATTGGAGAAAACAGTACAGGGGTCCAACAAAAGCTTTTTTAGTGGTGTTCAGATAGCTGCTGACACATCATAAATTAAAACATCCTTCATTTCAAGACCAGTTTGTCAGGGGTGGGAGTGGGAAGACTACTGTTTGAGTCATTGTGACAACTTACTAGTCTCTGAATTTAGTAGGAAGTTCACAGAAATATAAGAAATCATATGTATTGTATTTATCACTTATACTGCTTAACCTAAGAAACTGGATCTCCACTCCATTTTTTTAACATAGAAAAAGCACTTAACTAGTTTCAAGAACAATTTAGGGAGTAGTGTTTAATAGATTACCATGTTTCAACTTGAGGATATTACAGGTGTAGGCTTTGCTATGTTTAAATACAAATAAATTCATATTTATTTCCATATCAGGTTATTATATTATTTTGAAAGCCAGATATTTACTATCGCTGTCTTCAGCACCATTGGGGTACAGTTTACCACGATTACCAACCAAGCATTAAAGGGAAATAGAGCTTTTATACAGTCTCAGAAGGTACAATTTAGGTTCATTACATGCTTTAAGTGTCCTATGAGTTAATACCAAACTCATTCTCCGAGCGTAGAGCCTTATGTAGCCAAAATGGCACCATCCAGTTACAAGTGGGAGTTATCAGCAGGCTTGTGGCGTCTCCCCAGACTTGCAGAACATAAGAAATGTTTAGTGGGGGAGCCTTAATGGGGACTGGGGCTACATTTTTACCTAAAACCATTTTGAAAATTGGTAATACTTTAACTTTTTAATTCTGTGTGTGTGTGTGTGTGTGTGTGTGTGTGCCTGTATTGTAATGACCATTGTCTACAAACAGTGAAAATTTGATTGACTGAATTACAAGATAAAAAAGAGTATTTCTGTTGGCTTGAAGCAAAAACAAAGTATTGCTTTTTAGCAAGTGTATTCACTGCGTGTGCTTCAGCACTGTTATCCCCATAATGGGCAGCCAAGTATTTTTCCCCTGCTCCTCCCCGTAAACAAGTTTGAAGCTTTATTGTTATAGTGCATTATTATAAGAGAGCTGGGGTAGGGTAGTGGCTAAGTGTGACCTATGAACCAGGAAGATCCAATTTCAAATGCTGCAGTAAATTTCATATGTGTTGTTTAGGCTAGTGACTCTCTGTCACTATCAAATACATGCATGCTTTGTAATATGCAGATGAATCTAGAGTATCTTATTAGGCTGTTGGGAACCCCAAGAATATATATGATGAAGTCTTTGCACAACTGAAATAAGCTCTGACTATTGTTATCATTGTCGTCGTCATCTTCTTCCTGTACAGAGTTATTGCAGGACCAATATGAGGCGAACTTCCTAGACAAAAATATGCTATTTTATGTTGTTGTTTTGTTTCAGATCTGGAATGCTAGAATCTGGAATTGACAGAATAATTTCTCAAGTTGTCGATCCAAAGATCAATCACATATTCAGGCCGCAAGTAGAGAAAGCTGTCCATGAATTTTTAGCCACATTAAGCCACAAAGAGGAGGCCAGTCCCATCGCAGCTGCACCTGAGGAAAAACCAGACACTTCTGTTCTGATGCAAGGTATTTATGTCCATTGCTCCTGGCAGAACTGATGTGCTATGAAGTCTTAATTTGGAGCTTGGTGACTATGTAAGCAGATGGAAAGGTATCAAGGAAGGGAAGTTGAAGTTTAGCCTCCCAACTTCTTAGTAAGTGTTCATGGTGCAATCTTACCAGTATAGGAGTTGGTCTGAAATTGAGTTGAGTCCTAATTAATTATCATGATTTCCTCCAAGGATCAATTATATGTAGGATGATTCTGTCATTTATTCTACTCATATTGATCCAGAGCAGAACTCCAGTGTATAGTTAGCAGAGTAAAAACTTAAACACGTTGCAGGATCCCCCAAAAATAGACCAGAGGCAATTGTATTTCATCCAGCAGAGCTTTACTGCTGCTGAAGAAAATTGAGCATAATGGTCACAAATCCAATACATTCAGGATTGGCACTGTCCATAAGAAGTCCAGTTGCAGCAGACTTAACTCAAACTTGCAATAACTTATAATAAGACTAAACCTTAACACTAAACATACTATATACAAAGCACCACACAGTTGGAAAGAGAGATGAAGAAGAGAGTGAAACCCTGGTTCCTTTTGGCCTTGCTATTAGAGTCAGCATGACCTTGACAGAAAAAGATAACAGAATCAGTTTAAGCCTGCTGTACTCAGCTGCTCTGAAGGAATAACCCAAACATCATGTGTTTCTTTCACACAGAGAAGCTTCCACAACTCTCTTGAATTAGTTGCAGTTAGGTAGCCGTGTTGGTCTGCTGTAGTCGAAACAAAATAAAAAAATTCCTTCCAGTAGCATCTTAGAGACCAACTAAGTTAGTTATTAGTATGAGCTTTAGTGTGCATGCACACTTCTTCAGATCTTCAGCTGGTCTCTAAGGTGCTACTGGAAGGAATTTTTTAATTTTCTCTTGAATTAATTAGAATAGGAAAGATCTCTACACATCAGTACTTTCTGTGCTAAGAAATGCAAACTGGAGGATCCCCCTGCCCCAGAAAAATCTTTGATCACATTGGACATTCACCATATACAGTGGTACCTCTGGTTGCGAACGGGATCCATTCCGGAGGCCCGTTCGCAACCTGAAAAGAACGCACCCCACGTCTGCACGCGCGGGTTGCAATTCGCCGCTTCTGCACATGTGCTTGATGGCATTTTGCGCATCTGTGCATGCACGAGCGGTGAAACCCAGAAGTAACCCTTTCCGGTTACTGCAGGACACAACCTGAAAATAACGTAACATGAGGTATGACTGTATGCGTGAAACCTGCAATATCCCCTCCCCCCAATTCTTCAGGTTTCTTTTTTGCTTTAATATATGAGACATAAATGTAAGAGCAGATTTTTCAGACTAATGGATGACATTTGTTCTTTACTTAACTCCTTTGAAGGTGTTCCTGCTTCCACTCCAAGCACAAATGTAGCTAATGATGCTATGTCCATTTTGGAAACAATCACTTCTCTAAACCAAGAAGCAAGTGCAGCCAGGGCATCCACAGAAGCAACAAATTCAAAGACTAATGACAGAGTCCCGAAAAAACTCCTGTCTCAGCAGAGCACAGATGGTGGTATAGAGAAAGACGGTGGTGTAGAGAATTCAGAAGATCTGCTAGATGGAGAGAAATTGCTTTGTGACTCTGCAGAAGAAAGCTCTGAACCAGTATCCAACTCAGAAGATGTAAATAACTTATTTTCTTCAAGTGAAGAAGGGAAAAGTCTGTCAAAAGAAATTAACAGTTTGGTTAACCCAAGCAAGGAAGCTGCACAGGAAAGTGATGAGCAGAAAAGTAAACTGATGGCCCAAAGTGATAGGAAAATAGAGAGCATGGAGAAAGGAGAGAGGAAAAAGGAGAAGAAAGAAAAATCTGAGAAAAAGTTGGACCGCTTGAAAAAGAGTGGTGATGATCTAAAGGCTAAAGAAGAGAAGTCCCTGAAAGATAGGGAGGCAGAATCAGCCAAATATTCAGCTCTGGAGAAGAACAGTAGTAAGCACAAAGCAATTGAAAGTACAAAAGAAGGTATAAAAACCACAGGTTGCCATGCAATATGAGGGTGGGGCGGGGCTATTGGGGTTGATAAGAAAGTTCTAATTTCTGTAGGATGCTCTGTAGTGTTAGAAAGCAAATATTTGCAACAGCATTTTGTTGCTTATGTGTACTTAGAGTCCCATTTTTTTTCATCTGCAATTTGATGGCAAAATTTAAGAGACCAGAAGCAGCTTTCCATGTGATGTTTGAAGGATGTAAATTGGCAAGCCTCCCCCAGGCATTCATGTAAGCCATTTCCACTTGCATGTGGGACTCTGGGCCCATGTTTTAAAAGATCTTCCTTTCTTTCAGAACTAGTTTTGGAGGATTCTGATGTTGACATACTCAGTGATATCACTGTTAGCTCTGTGCACACCAGTGATCTTTCTTCCTTTGAAGAACAAAGTGAAGAGGAAGTTGTACTTTCAGACAGCACAGAAGAAGGAGAGATCGTTTCTGATGGTAAGGTAACAGTCCTGAAGCTGCACTGGATTTAATTCCCTAGCCAGGAGAAAACAAAATGTGAACATTTATCTTCAAATATGCATCTTTGACCACTAGTCCTAGTAGCTAGGGAGGCTGGGAGTTGTCCCAACAGCTGGGGACCCAAGTTTGAGAAATAATGTGTTATACTGATGTTGATACAGAGTTTAAGTTGATAACATCTGATTGCAGTAGTGGCTGGCGGTGGGGGTGCTGTTACTTCCCTGGCCTCTCAATACGGGTGTTGCTACCAGTAATCATGAGGTTCAGGGGCGAGGCAGGAGGGAGGTTCACGCAGGTGCTGCAGTGGAGCCAATCAAATGCTTCCTTTGCTGGGTCTGCAGTGCAGGAACCTCCCTGCTGATTTGCCCCTCTTAGCTACCAATAGTGAGTTGATTAGGAAACCACACCACTTTGCCACCTGCTACTATCTGCCCTAAATGCACACATGGGAGCGTTCATGCCAGCTCGCACAAACGTACACACTGATACCTAGGTACAACACAGGAAAAATATTTTTCATCAGTATTGACATGAAATCACCCATTTTTTTGAAATTGGTCAAAAATGAATTGAGCATACAGTTCAGTAGCAGAGATGTTACGTGCCCTCACATAGACAACCTACTTTCATCACAGGGTTAAATTTGCTGTGTTCTGTGCAGTTTGAAAATTGCATAGCTGTGGGCACAAAACTCTTAATCTGCAGCCAAATGCTAGGCTTGTCTTTATCATCTCATTAATCCCATGTAATCTGTTAGTTGAGAGTATAGTATAATCTAAATGGGGTGTTCAGTTAGGGCTGTACACAGGCCCCTAATCCACCCTGTGACTGAAATCTGTGGCCCGTGGATCAGGTTGATATGCCCTGTGCCACCTGGGGACCACCTTGGAGCTGTCCCCCAAACAAGTGGGGGATTGGAGTACCATTTTTAATGGGTTTTAAAACCATATTTTAATATTCAGTTAAAATGGGGCTTTAAAATGATCAAGGATGGAGGTGCACCATAACTGTGCAGAATAGGATCCTGCCTGGTGCTGCTTTGCAAGTGGCTTTCCTGCGGGAGATCTTGCAGTGCAGCACCCACTGCCCATGGAATCAATGCCTCTGCTCAACAGCTGTTGCGTCAGTTCTGTGGGGCATCAAGGCAGGAAGGAGACTCATGGCATTGCCAGCCAAGTAAGTCTTGGAGGTATTGCACAGTTTTCTGCTCCAAAGAAGCCCCATTTGGCTTGGGCCTCATCTAAATCCAGGGCTCAGTCTAGGGTTCATCAGGCCATCTATTCAAATGCTAATACATTTTCTGATTTTAGTGGATATGCCTGTGCTGCATCACAAATTTAAACCAATGCATACCTTCAAGAAATTCTTGCTGAGACAGCTAGGTATTCTACAATACTGTTGCAATATTTCAATTTCCAGAATCCTTGCCAACTTGCCTTGTAGCACCTGGGTACTAAGTGCTCTATGTTGCTGTTTATTAATAAACAAACTAACTAACTAACTTTAACCCCAACAGATTTTGGGGATTTAAGCTCTCCCTTAGTTTTAGATGTGTGGGAAAACAAGGCAAGAATTTGAAGAGATCTGTGCAAGCACAGAATGTTTGTCAACTGGCCAGGGGGCGGTGGGGAAGCTTGCCTTGGGTGGCTGATTTTTCACTTCCAGCTTCTGCCTGGAGCGCTGCTCCAGTAGGTCCCCTGACTGCCAGTATCAGATTTTGAGGTGGAACACAAGGAGCTGCAGTAGGAAGAAGGCAGAAAGGTTCTTTTGTTCACATGGAACTTTCTGCCTGTCCCTTTCATCCCAACCTAGATCTGGCTTTTAAAAACATCTTTCCGTTAAGGTTGGGGTGGGGTACTTGTGTCCTTCCAGATGTTTGTTGGGCTCCAGTTCCTATTATCCCAGAACTTTGCCTTTGCTGATGGGAGTTGGAGTTCATTGACATCTTGCATGGCACCAGATTCCTTATCCATGCTGTCTAGAAACTTTCATTGTCTCTTATGTTTCTCTAGATGACGAAGAAGAAAATAATCAGGTTAAAACAAAGCCAGAAGCTGATTGGGCCAGCAATAAAAAAACAAAATCTGGGCGACACGCTTACGTCCATAAGCCTTACCTCTACTCCAAGTATTATAGTGATTCTGATGATGAAGGGACTGTGGAGCAACGCCGCCAGTCTGTTGTAAGTTTGGTTTATTTTATTTATTTTTTAAAAAAAAATATTTAGCAAAGAAATGAGAACAAGAAAACAATCGAAACTACAAACACAGCACATGCGTAGACATTTCAGGGATAAGAAACTGCTTCTCTCCTTTGTTCTGACCTATTTTGGAATGCTTGGAACACAAACTAGTACAGTTTGGACCATTGTTGTGCCATTCTCAAGCCTCTTGCTTTTTATCAATTAATGTGGCAGTCAGCTATTCCTAATGATACCTCTTCTGACCTCCAGTCTTTTCAAGAAGCATTTCTGGAGACTTGGCCTTGGTGTGCTTATGTCCAGTAGTCTTAATGGAGGGAAAACTGAAGAATATTAATAAAGGTTTCATGTCTTGAGGAACTCGTTAATTTATTTATCGGATGAACTTCTGTTTGATACACAAAATTACTGCCGGCATATTGATCCATTGGAGAGGGTTTTGTTTTGCATTTCAGAATAGATTGGTACTGTGTCCAGACTGAGTTAATTTGCTTGATTACAATTTCTGGGGGGAGGGGGTTTACTTTGCAGACAAGAAAGTACAATCGAAAGGGTTATTAGGTTTTTAAAAACATATTGTGGGTTTATTTCAATAAAACAAAAACAGTTATGGCCAGCATCTAGAGAAGCCTTTGCATGACAGGAATAGAGTTTTCAGGTTTTGCTTTCTTGCAGCAGTCCTTCATACCTCATTGAGTGTCGCTGAAGATACTCTTCTAGCCTTCAGGGAAGCTTTCTGGGGAGACATAGAGGCTGCTGCTGGAAGCAGGGTAGTGAAAACATGCTTTGGATCCCATCATATAAACTCCCATTTTCTTATCTTCAGGCTAGAGAAAAAGAAGAGAGACTGTTAAGGAGAAGGCTTAACAGAGAAAAACTTGAAGAAAAGCGGAAACAGAAAGCTGCAGAAAAAACGAAAACACTGAAAAGTGCAAATCAAGGTGCTGAGCTGTACTTCAGATGAACATATCTTGTGCTGTTTTCTAGTTGCGAGTTAGTTGCTTTTTTTGCACAAGAGAGTGTATACTTAATTTAGTACTCGCCAAACAATTTATTTTGCATCCAAAATAACAATATCAGAAATTGCAGCTTGAGACTTTACTGTGTCGTTCTAGGTAAAAGCACTCAAAACCTGGAAGAAACTCCTGCCAGAGGACTTGAATTGAAAGCCAGCGGTGCCAGCATCAAGGATGTGCTGAAAGAACAAAGGTTTTTAGAAAAGAAGGTAGCCCTCAGCAGGAAAAGAAAGAGAGAGTCAAGGTACTTGCAGAGGACATAAAATTAGTACGTTTTGCATACTACAAAGTGCAAATCCTTTGAAAGTAGTATAGATACAGTTTGAAATAGTTTGAACCCCCTCTAAGGTTCACAGACCCCTGGGCTGGTGTTCATAGTTCACCCATCCAAGATAAGGTTAGTAGCAGGCGGCAGTCTTTTAAGCCGAGCACCTTGCAGGAAAGTTCATCCCAGAGAGCTTCAGTTAATGACGTCTAACTATTTTTGAAGGACAACTGAGATGTCAGGCTGCATTCTGTTTTAGCCCTTTTCTAGCATTAATGAAAGTATGGGAAGGCATCTTTTCTGCAAACCCATTAGTGTGAGGAAAGTTCCTCCATGCCGGCTTCCTTCAACCTTGGTGCATCTCTCGCCCTCCAGGCGTCTCCACAGGGTTTTCAGGGGTCTTTCCATTTAAGGCTCTAATTTGCTCTCTCCCCCCCCCCCCCCATTGTAGCAGTCCCCAGTGCAAATAGGAGCTTTATCTTTTTAAAAAACAAAACTTAGTTGTGTATATTTCAAAAATAGAGCATTCTTTTTGTCCAGACCTATCTTTTATCCCTAATATTCAGCCATACATTAACTTCAGGAATTGGTCTCCCCTTTATCCAAGTCAATTTTGCTCTTGTGTGTTGTGCACTTGAGTTCTCTTTGGATCATATTAAGCCCTTGTGAAAATATAAGGCCCTCGTTATTACCTTTAAATACTCTTCCAGGTAAGGGGAAGATTCCAGGAGCAGTATTTTCCTTAGAGCATATTACTCTCATTTAGTCCACCAGCAGTGTTGAAATTCTAAAGTATATCCTGGTGGACACTATTAGAGTATCTGCTGCGTCTGCAGCTTTGGGGACACAGCTCCACTTGAAGAAATTTGTAGAGCTGCTACAGGGACTTGTGTCCATACTTGCACTAGGCATTACAGCCTCCCCCAGCCTGGTGTCCTCTAGATGTTTTAGGCCAGTGGTTCCCAACCTTTTTTGGCCATGCCCCACCTAAGCATCTCTAAAATCCTGGTACCCTCCCCCCCCCCGTGACATATACCGTATTTTTCGCTCTATAGGACGCACCAGACGATAAGATGCACCTAGTTTGGGGGGGAGGAAACAAGAAGAAAAAAATTCTGAACCCCAGAAGCCAGAACAGCAAGAGGGATCTGGCTTCTGGGATAGCCTCTTGCTGTTCTGGCTTCGGGGACAGCCTGTGAAGCCTCCGCAGGGCAGCGGGGTGCCTTCACCCTGCTGTCCTGCAGAGGCTTTGCACATCTAACCCCAAGCTAGAACAGGGAGACCGAGCGCTGCGCACACACATTTTCCCTTACTTTTTAGAAGGGAAAAAGTGTGTCTTATAGAACGAAAATTACGGTAATTCTTATTAGTCAAAAAGTGAACTCCTGTTCACATGGAGGAAGCCTAAAAGGCCATTAACTTGGTCTATGCAAGCTTCCAAATTGCTTCCCTTAAAAATCAAATTGCCCCCCTGTGGGGCACCCCACATTGGGAACCACGGTTTGAGGCCCATAAACAATGACCATTGGCTGCACTGATAGGTGATGATGGGAGTTATAGCCCAAGACATCTCTTTTTTTATTATTATTTCAGGCATGAAGAAGAAGGCAAGAAGAAAAAATGTGAGCAGCTTGAGAAGGATCCTGGAGAACCTCAGAAGATTCCTGAAGTAAGTCCATAATTTAAACTTTGGTTCTTGTTCTGTAAGACTGTAAGCTTGATCTGTACCTTTAAAATTCAAAGATATAATTAGTATTGTCTGCACTTTCAGTACTGTTTTATAGGTTTTAAGCCATTAGTATAATGAAGAAAATCTTAACTACTAAGATTTAAGTTAGATTACTATTGACCTTTTAAAAATGATTTAATACACAAAATTACATGCTGCACAATGCAGTTAATTCTTCCAATTAAATTCAAGGATTTCAGTTCAGACAAGGAGCATGGGCTTTGACATAATTCAGGTGAAAATAGCCTTTTGCACAAAGAAATCATACTTACATTTTTATATTGTAGGGTGTTGAAAAGCCCTCCCAAAAAGAAGTGAAGGCCAGTCAAGGCAAAAATGAAGCAAGTAAACTTGTGAGAAGACTTTCAGAGACGGTGCATTCAGTTGATGAAAACAGAAATGATTCCAAGGTAGAAAAAGAACACAAAAGAAGACCATCTACTTCTCTCCAGGTGGAAGGAATGCAGCAAGATACTGAGCCCCGAGATCCCAAATCTCAGATTGATAGAGCAGAGACCAGCTCAGAAGAACCTCAGAAGCAGAAAAGCATACTTAAAAATGAAAAGCATGTTAAAAAGGATGATTCAGAAATCCAAAGTTTTAGAAGTGCACCCAGGAAAGAGGCTAGATCATCAAAAGATAAAAATGAAAAAGAGAAAAGTATTTCTGAAGATAAATTATTAATTAAGCATAAATGTAAAGGAGATGTGTTTCATAAAACAGGTGATGAGGCTGAAAATTTGCCATCTGAGAAAGGGCTGAAAAGCGAGGAGAATCTTCAGAAGCATAGCCAGCTAACAAAATCTTTTTCAGATGACAAAGCTGAACGGAAGAATAAGCACAGAAGTGAAAGGAAAACATCAGCAAACAGCAAAGATCTGAAAAGTGTTTCTGAACATGCTTTAAAAAATGAAGAAAGTTCACGTAAAGAAAACAGAAAAGACAGACAGGGTTCTATAGAGAAATCCAGAGCAGACCACAAGTCTAAAAGGCTGTCAAGTGATTTAAGGCCACAGAAAGAGTCTCAGGGTACATCAAAGCAACATAGTTTTGTAACATCAAGGAAAGGGGAAGGTTATTCAGAAGACAAACATGATGCAGAATCGACAAACTCTGATAACACTTTAAAGCAAGGTGATAGTATACACAAAGACAGGCGAAAATCAAAGAATGCTTTGGAAGAGAAGTTACTGTTAAAGTCCAGGTCCAAGAGTCACGGCAAGCAAGGCAAAATACCTGAACCTGAACTACAAGAAAGTTCCTCCAAGCAGGAATCAGGACAGAAATCCGGGCCTAATTCAGAAGAGAGTGATCCAGATAAGCAGTGTAAATCCAAAACTGAAATTAAAGGTTTTGAAGAAAATTCTGTAGAATTGGACCCTGACAGTGGAGCACATTCAGTTAGTAGTTCTCAAAAAGACTTCAGTCATCGAGTTAAGTCACAATCAGTAGAAAAATCATCTGCAAAAGAGAGAAATAAAAGTGATAAAGATTTGAGTAGTTCAAGACTGGAAAGGAAAATGTCAGCTGAAGGTCACAAGAGCAGAAGTTTGAAGCATAATAGTAAGGACATGAAAAAGAGAGAAGATGACAACAAACCAGATGACAAAGGGGTTAAACAAGTAGAGACTCATGCAAAGTTGCAAGAAAATCTGCTCACAGATAAAAGAACAACTAAAAAATCAGCTAGTGAAAGCAGAAAGGGAAGTTTTTCTTTCCAAGAAATGGATAAAGGAGAAGAAAAATCATCAGCAGAAATGTCAGTCTGGACTAGTGGGCACACGTTACGTTCTGAAGAATGCCAAGAGCCAATGGACATACAGTCAGAACAAAGGGACAGTAATGCACAGCATCAAATAACTCAACCTAAAGAAGAAATCAGTAATAATTCACAACAAGAAACTAAATTTAAAAACAATGCCAAAGACCAAATGCACCATAATTCATTGCATGAGTTGAATAAAACTTTGCCTACAAAGGAAATCTCAAAATCTTCCCCTTCCGGTTTCAGTAACCCCAAACAAAAGTTTGAAAAGACTCCTACGAAGGAAATGGATGTGCCAAGTGATGCCTTTAAAAGTGAAGAAAGCAGTTCTCCAACCAAGCAGCTGTCAAATGAAGGTGTTGTCCATCAAAAATCTATGGATATGACTGTTGCAGAAGTCAAAAACCCTTTGAGTGATGTATCTCTGGAGAAATCTTTTAATTTGGATAGGCCAGCTAATAAAGATACCATTTCAGACAATGAAGCACATACTGCTAAAACGGAACAGCATGGTAGCATTATATTCGATGGTAACATAAAAGAGAGTGATATCACTGACATGGAAATTTCTAACGCAGGTGACAAAGGGCACCTAAGTTGTAAAGAAGTGACTGAAGAGAAAACGAGTGGTTTTATATGCATTCAAGAAGGTACTATGCAGAAGATTACTGGAATTGCTTTAACTGGCAGTATAAAGAGTGATCAAATGACCAGCCCAACTATAGTATTTACAGAGGTATGTGCAAACAAAGGCAAAACAAATGAAAACCATACTGTCAGTGGTGTAATAGAATTGTCTTCAGGGTCAGTGCCCAAGAACACTCCAGAAGAAATTGGTGAAATGTCCGTGATGGCTAGTAAACAAGGAGGTGATTTAAGAAGAGTCGCTGAAGATAAAAATGAAAACAATGTAGTAGGCAGCAGTGTAGGAAGCAGCAGTTGTGTTAGCATCAGCAATAGCATGGAGACTGATGTGACTGTTATCGGGACCAGCACAGAGAGAACTACTGGGAGTGCTGTAACAGCTACTAGCACTGGAGGAAGCCAAAGTGAAGAAGGTACATCAATCCATTTGCAAAGAGAAGGCGATGCCACTATTACTTGCTCAGAAGAAAAAAGTGAGACTGCTTTGAGCTGTACAAGTATAGAAGCAGATGAAGGTTTCACTGTGGGATGTTGGACCCCAAATAAGGAAGGTGCTCATTCTGTATCAGAAAAGTGTTTTGATGAATGTCCTGTCACAGCGACTGAAGAAAGTGGTGTTGGCACTCAAGGACTTACCGTGTGTGAAAGTTCCTCAACCAGTACAAAGGAGGAAGAAAGTGGAGAATGCATTGTGAATTATGCAGAAGAGCATTCTAAACAATTAATCAGTGAAACTAGGGTAGAACTTGAACAGACTGTGAATAGTGTTGAAGCAGAAGAGAAAGATGATGCTGTAACCAGTGCAGGTTCTGAAGAAAGGTGTGTGGCTTCCGTCTGTAGTGGTACAAGCAACTTTGACAGTGCTACTACCTGCCTCAGTGAAGTAGAAAGTGATGGTGCTGTTACCAGTGCGGGTACTGAAGCGAAGGATAGACCTGTGACAAGTGAAAATCCAGATGAATTTCGGAGTAATGCAGCTGGAAGTGAGCATGCTAAAGCTGCTGAGGGTGCTGTGACTTGTACGGCTGCCGAAAGAGGAAGTCCTGGCTCTGCCATCTGTTCAGTGACTGGTACTGACTCGCAAGATGAGCGTGCTGTGACTGGCGTGTGTGCTCAGACAGCGAACAATGTGGCAACTGGGCCGCACGCTGACAAGAGTGAAGACATTGTGAATGGTGAGAGTGCCGTCACCAGCACAGGCATAACAGCAGAAGATGGCCCTGAAGCTGCAGCTGCGTGCACTGGTTTGGAGGACAGCAATGAAGGTTTTGCAGCAGCTTCAGATACACAAGAAAAATACGAGTTTGCCACAGACAGTACAGCAGCTAGAGCTGAAACGAACATCATTGATGTCAGTCAAGGTTCCTATGATGATGAAGGTTGTGTGACTAGCACTGGTGCAAAAGAAGACGATGAAGAAGGTGAAAATTTTGTTACTAGTACAGGGAGAGGGAACGAAGAAGCGGAACAGACTTTGACCTGTACAGGAACAGAAGAAAGTGAAAGGGTGCTGATTTGTGTTGGAGCCAAAGAAAGTGGAAGTTCCTCCATCTGCCTTGCTGCAGGCCAGCTTAGAACTGACTTGGGTGAGCTGACCTCAGATGTTGATAAAGGTGCTGTTGACAGCATGACAGGCTTAGAGAAGGACTTGAAAATTGATGATATCCACAACAGTACAAAGGGAGTGGTTGAAAGTAGCACCACTAGTGTTGGTGTGGCCAGTGAAAATGTTATGGCATTTGGTGCAAAAAAAGAGTCTCAGTTTACTGAGAATTATGAATGTGATGTGATTAGTGCAACCTCAAAGCAAGGTGTGGATCAAGAGTCTGCTGTGGAAGAGAAGAATGAGGATGCCACATCTTTCATAGATATCAGGAAATCTGAAGGCCCATTTAGGATAGGCTCAAAGAAAGTAGCTGTTCTCTCAGCATCTGCTAATGAAGATGAGAGAAGTGAAGGTGAGACCATCTCTACAAGTGTGGTCAAAGTGTGCCCTACCTCGGCTCAGTCTTCTGCTAAGCATATTGATCAAACACCACTTGTTGCAAAAACAGTTGAAAACCTTGAGAAAACCCCAAGCCTCATCAGTACAGAAGATTTCAACACTCCTACGCCTAGCACAGCTGTTGAGTATATGAATCAGGATGGAACTGCTAGTAAACAAAATAACGTTTCTACAAGTATCTTGGAAGAATTTGAAGCCCCTATGCCAAGTGCAACAATAGAAGATGGCAAAAGTGCATTTCTTACTATACAAGCTGCAGAAAAGACCACAACTGTGGAAATGGACGCTATTCCCATGCCTAGTATGTCAACTGGAAGTGTTGATGAAGGTAATACAGTTCATAGCAAAGAGGAAAGGGATGAATGCACTGTGATTTCCACAAGCATAGTTGAAGAGTTAGAGACTTCCATTTCCCAGGAAAGAACTGAAGATGCAGATGAACATTTCCCCTTAAGATTGGAACAAACTGCAGACACAGCTATGATCTCGACAAGCTCAGTGGAACAGTTTGAGACTTCTGTGTCTCCTGTTGAGGCACAAGAGATTGATCAGGTCTGTAGAACCCAAGGAAGGTTTGAGACTTCCACTATCTCTACTACGGAAGGATGTGACAAAACCATCCATGGTGCATTTGTGCCAGTAGAAGCTAAAGAAAGAACTACGGGTGCTGGAGTTTCCACAGAGGGAGCAGAACATGTTCAGGAAGCCACAAGCCAAGAGATTGAATTTGTGTTTCAAAACTCTGAAAAAAACAACCAGAGTGCTGTAATTTTGGTTCAGAAGAGAGGAGAGTATGATGCTCTTGGACTTAGTGTTGCCATTGCTAAACCTGACAAAGATTTGGTTGCCTTGAGTGCAGACATGCCGGAGGATTGTATAGCAGCCGGAATAGTGGAAGAATGTGACAGTGTCTCTACTGTTGCTGTCTCAGAGAAAACTCCACTTGAATTTTCAAGCAAAGAAGTTGAAGATGAACATGTGCTTCAAAAAGAAAGCCAAAGATTCCATCAGGGGGAACCTGAGGGTGCTGTGGAAGAATTAACCACAGATGACACCACAAGCACAGAAATGCCTGAAAATACAGTGCAATCTGATAGCATAGGAGAAAGCCTTGGCACAGAAATTTTGAACCCTTCTGTCAGTGATGGAACATCCACTGAAGACTGCGTGCATGAATGCAGAACCCAAGAGAGTGGGCAACATACCGAAGTTCCATCTGGTATGCCACTGGAACAGAAAAGTGGGGATGTAAATTTAGCAATAGACGATATTAGTCACAAGCCAGTATTAGAAACTGACCTGGGTGAAACGATGGATCTCCCCAACAGGAAATGCTCGACTTCATTACTTGTCGAATTGGGGGGAAATTCCAAGGACAGAGCACTTGGAGGAGGAAGAGTTCAGGGGAGTCACTTGGCTGACATAGATGCTAAAGCAGATGGCCAGAATGAAGAGGAAGCGTTTTCTCAAGGGAGTGTAGCATATCAGTCTGGTAAGATCCTTATGTACTGCAATATTTTGAGACTTCGGAATTTAATGATTGGGGTGTGTAGGAAGTTAGACTTAGGAGCCAGTTAGCATAAAGAAGCAAACTGCCTGCAGTTGATCAAGTATACAAAGAAATAATATAGTAAACAAAGTTGAGATGTTCCTATTTAATATAGTTAAGAACAGGATTAGGGTCAACTTTAGACTTTTAAGGATAGCAGCTAGATTATTGGCTAGCACGAAACCTTCATATTTTTTTGTTATTCAGCAAAATTTATATACCACTCTAAGCAGTTTTATTTACAACATTTCTATGAAACCCCTGAAATCAAATTTCCAAGAAAGGTGGCAATGATGAATAAAATTCAGTAAATCATGGTGCTAAAACCACAGCAGAGAGAATATGCACCTGAGGTTAAAATTCTTGGGGAACGAAAGGTCTCTCTGCCTGCTGCCCGAAATATACTGGTTTAGGTATCCGGCAGGTAAGTTTTATGTGGCATTACCCATTGAAATGAATGAACATAACTAAGTCAGGTATAATAACTTCAATGGGTAATTTAAACCAAGTAAAATGTACTTGAATACCACCCACACTCTTTAGCTGCCACATCTGACTTCAGATAGTGGGGCACTATGAAGCAGTAACTTGCAGTATAAAGTATGAAGTAGTGCAAAGAATCAAATTTATAAAACTGAAAATTGTCTTACAATCCTATACCTTTGAAATCATGGTGTGTAAATGTTACATTCTTTCGTCACTAAGGTTGTGCTGGATTTGGCAATATCTGGAAGAGTTAGGAATTTCTAGAACTGTTCTGTTTTGTGGAATAGACAATAAAGTTCATGTTTAACTTTCTATCTGGGATATCCTCTGAAGCCAAGCCATGGAAGGCTTAGTTATTTTAAACCCACCAGTTCCTAATGAAACACAGAGAAAGGAACAGTTACCTGCACCAGAAGCTTCTATCTTTAATAATCTTGTAGCATAGCCTTGAATGGAGAGAGAGATTAGCTTGCTTTTGCCTAGATATAAAATGCCACAGAGAATAAGGAATCATGCAAGTAAGTTTAATTGTAAAATCTTTACTGAAGAGAGCCAAAGGCACAGCAGGGACACTGTATGCCCATTTCATCCCCCAAGAGGAATGTAGTTTGAGGGCGCCTGCTTCTGTCAAAGAGCCCAAAGCATAGAGACACTGTTGATTCATATGCTAGGGCCTTGTAAGAACATGCTGAATACTGAGCTTGCTGTTAAAATAATATATTAATAGAGTGGTGCTTGGTGTTCTAGACAAAGGACTCTATGAAGGAATGCAGTTAATAGATGACATCAAATATTGCAAGACAGCAATAACACTGCAAGGAGTATAATCAAATGAATATAAACATTTAAATTGCTTTTGTTAGACAGCAAAGAAATTCACCCAGTTGTGGCTGAAGAGCTGGAACAAAGGACCAGGATGACAGCTATTGAGGTATTATGGTGTTTTAAAAGATTTTATTCCTTATACCTTTCATTTAGTTTCTGGACTTAACTAGGGAGAAAAGTTAATTTATTTGAATTCTTTCCCCCATCCCAATAAATTTATATTGAAACTTTTTCATCCTACAGTACAATATAAAACAAGCTAACTAAAAATAAAAAAGGAAAGGGAAAGCAAAGTAAATACAAAGCCATCTTTCAGAGGTAGATCTTAATCAAACGTTACACAGAAAGGGCTGGACTCTCCCAGCTCTCACCCAGGAGCTTCCCTTTCTTCTCCCACTCTGGGAGATCTTCCCTTTCCAGCCTTTCACGCAGAGTCATTCACCAGCCAGCCATCTCCATCATGTGCGTACAGTTTCCTCAGTGATCCAGAGTAGAAACCACTCAAAAAAAGAAACAAGAAGAAAAAGAAACAGGATTTTTAAAAAAAGTTTTCCACCCTAAATTCGCTCCAAATTGTACACAGAATCCTTTCTCTCCCAGCTCTGTCTCTGCCAGCTCAGAATATTCCGTAATCTCTCCATCCATGGTTCCATTCCACTTCTCCAACATCATAATTCCACTGCAAGACTATTTTACTTCTCCAGGCACCTGTGTAAAGGTGCTCTCCATTCCATCATCTACTGCCTCCAGCTTTATCATTCCACTCTCCTCTTCTGGCAGGCCTTGTTCTGGCAATCAATATTTTTCTCCAAAGCTTCTGTGTCTTTAACCTCATCTTTCTCTTGACCATTTTCATTCACCACCTTATCCATCTCAGTTCAGATCTATTTTAGTTGCTCATCCAGTAATTGCTGTATGATGCCAACAGTCAATGGGGTGTCCAACAGTGTTTTTGCCATATTGAGTGTTCTTGGTCTTATTGACAACTCACTCTTCACTTTAAGGTTTATAGTCTCTGCCTTAAAAGCTTGAGTCTCCTGTCTTCTTATCTCCAGACCTTATTCTTTTCCCACAGTTTCACTTTGCAGCCAGCACTTTCATCAAACACCCCTTAGCTGTTTATGTTGATACTGCATGTCAAATTTCAGACTCTCAAAGGAACTTTTCTGGATTTTATTACCAGAATATTCAGGTTTTCCATACAGACATTTCCATGCCTGTGAAATAATGATTATCCACTTTTAGTGTAAGTACTGGGTAATTTAACAAACTGAGCATTCCCTAACTACTAATTTTTGGAGTCCTGAAAGATTTTCCTTCCCTTTGCTTCATAGGACCCACAATGTAGAAGCATGGAAGAAGAAAACCTCTCTGAAGAGATTCAACCAGAATTTATTTCCAAAGGTAAATTCCTGCTTCTAACGGCAGTGATAAACTGTTGCAGGTTATAATCTTCGGGATTTATCAATAGAATTAAATATTACATTTCATAAAACATCTGATCCACATCAGGAGGTTAGTCATGCAGCCCCAGTTGTTCCTGGGGAGTGAGACTTGCATTTAGTGCAGCTTAATTTAAGTGGGTGCAGATCGATCAGATTTTTTATTTTTTTTAGGGTTCTGTAAATTCTTTATTTGTACATCAGTGAAGCAAAAAGAAAAGAAAAATTCCCTTTTGCACAGCAACTGCTTAGGGCCCAGCCTGAGCACCATGCAAGATGCCGTGTACACAATCCACTAATTGCAATATCAGGACCAAAAAAACCCAAGTGGCTGGAATTCAAGACCAGTTCTGCTGCACCTGTTGAAACCAAGCTGCCATTTGACAGAGGAAAGGGGTCAGCCATACAAAAAAAGGCTGCCACTACAATCACTACTAGTTTGCCCTCTGCATTAACATCAGAACTTTGTGAGCTCTCTAGCCTGTCTCAAGCCTAGCTCTTTTCTCAACGAGAGATCCCCACATTTTGTTGAATGGCTGTGGCTGCTGACCCATATTTGGATGCCTCTTTCCCCAAGTCATTCTGCTATATGCCGCGTGGGGACCCCTGTTGCTACTTCTCCCTCTTTCAATGACTCGGCAATAATACAATGAAGCAGAGGCAGCAGTGAACAATCGTTGAATGTTGCTGGTAGGTGACGTATTGTGCCTCAGAGGCTCCACAGCATGGCCACGGCCCTATAGATGCCCACATCGTGGTAATAGAAGTAGCAGAGGCCAGCAAAGGTGAGTGCTGAGAGCAGGTAGAGGCCAGTGTTGGCCAGTTTAATAGATGTCTCTCCATGGACATAGTCAGCTACTGTTTGCCCAAGGCCCCAGTGACCATGGAGTGTGAGAGTGGCAGTGTGAGTAGTCCATGGTTGGTCCAGGATACAGGTAAGCTGCAGGCAGGAGCCCAAGCAGGAGGCCACTGACTGCTCACTCACCAGTCCAGTGCAGAGAGGCAGCCTTGGAACCAGCGACTCCCCGCCGTGGGGTCTGCCCAGCCCCACCCGCAACAGCCCCACCGCCATCTTGCACCGTTTGCCGTCCAGATCTATCAAAGGTTATACAAGGTCAGGCAGTTGACAGGTGGGTGTCAGAAGCAGCCCCCAGAAGGCTGAACAAAAGTGGTTCCCCACCCTTGCCATAGTGTTAAGTGTACTAAACTGAACTAAAAGTAAATGTCTGAAAAACTGTTCCACTGCACTAGCTGTTTCAGCATTGGAGAGAGAGATCTTAAATCCTCATTTCAGTTGAGGCCCCCCCATCCTTTCAGTTTAAGTAAATTTAGTGTAACTCAAATTTAACCCTTGTGAGGGTTGTATACAGCGAAGTAGTTCCATCAGTACAGGGACTTCCGGCTGTGCAATGGAATGTCCCCTCCCTCTCCCTGTGTGCCCCCTAAATCTGTTCTGGGTTTTCCCCCCACCCTCAAGTGCAAATTTGGGAAGGGTGCAGAGAGGTCATGGGTACAGGGTGTTGTTGTGCATATGGAACTACTGCCTTGGTAAAGTATTTCACAATTTCTAAGATAGTTACAAGGGAGTCCTTTTGCTTTGATATGTAATTCTTGTTATATAAGGCAAATGTTAAATTTGCAAAACTTTTATTAGAGACATTTTTAGAGCACTCCCTCTGCTTTGTTTGAGATTATTCTACCTAGGTAAAAGGAAGTTGTTTATAAAATAATCATGTCTTCTGTCAGGGCTGAGTGTGCACAGCAGACAGTGAATTTCATAGTTTGAAACTGCAAGGAATGTAAACACCCCATTGCTGTTTGAGAAACTAAGATCCAACTCTGTCTTTGACAGTATATTTAACAACTGAAATGTTCTCTTGTTGTTTAATGTAGTATCAATGAAAGGAACCGTGTACGTGTTTTCAGTGGTTTAGAGAAAGAGCATTGTTTTTGGAAGGGGTTCTTGGATTAATACCAGTAGCTAGCTATAGTCTACGTTTACAATAGGAAGTTCCAGTAAATCAGAATTTTAAACATTTTAAAGTTGGAATAAGCAACTGGGAGGCACAGGCTTCCTGCCTATTGCTCAGCATAATCCTTCAACCCCAAGAGGCCTCTCTCTGCAGTGCCTGGGAGCGAGCAGCTGACCTGCATAAGAAAGAGAGGGCTCTTTGAAAGCCTTGCTGCTGCTCATGATGGAAAGGAGGGATTGAGGAGCCCTTTTACTGTCTCCTGACTGCTGGAAAGTGAGTCAAGACAGGGAACAGGCTAGAGGCTTATGCACATCTGACACTTGAATCCCTTTCCTGACAAGTGACATCAGAAGAGGAAACCTGGTTGGTATCGTCCACATTACTGTATTGCAGTGTGAAAGAATTAGAATTGGTACTACGGGATGCTGCCCGTGAAGTGGCCAATGAGAATTTGGATATTGGCTGGGGGTGCAAACTGTTATAAAGCAGGAGAAAAAGCAGATTCCTGAGCACAGAGTGTTGCTGCTATAGTCCCAGAAAAGTTTCCTCTGAAATAAGGCTAACCTATAAATAATAGCATAATGGGGGTTTGATTTTTTTTTAAGTGGGAGCATTTCAGTACTGCTGCTGAAATCCACATGAGCAAATTTATAGCTAATGGGGATAAAATGCATATGCATTGGGATGCAGTAGGCCAGGCATGGCCAAATTTGGCCCTCCGGCTGTTTGGGGACTACAACTCCCATCATCCCTAGCTAACAGGACCAGTCATCAGGGATGATGAGAATTGTAGTCCCAGAACATCTGGAGGGCCAAGTTTGGCCATGCCTGCAGTAGGCACAGCACCTCTGAACTGAAGCCCATGGATTGGGGTGGGGAGGTGAGTAGTAAGGTCTGCCTGAGGACTGCTTCCTGTGCCTTTGTGTAGAAATATTATTTTTCTGTACAAGTTTCTAGCTCAGGCGTCAGCAACCTTTTTCAGCTGTGAGCCAGTCCACCGTCCCTCAGACCATGTGGTGGGCCGGACTATATTTTGAAGAAAAAATATGAATGAATTCCTGTGCCCCACAAAGAACCCAGAGATGCATTTTAAATAAAAACACACATTCTACTCATGTAAAAACACGCTGATACCTGGACCGTCTGTGGGCCGGATTTAGAAGGCGATTGGGCCACATCTGGCCCACGGGCCTTAGGTTGCCTACCCCTGTTCTAGCTGAAACTTGTTTGCATAGTTCTGAGAGCACTTCATAGTAGTTCTTAAAATCCATCTTGGGCTTGTGGTTAACATACTGTTAAGGAAATGTAAGTATAAATCAGGAATCTCATATCTGCCAGAAGTCTCTAGGAAGCTGTCTGCATCTACAATATAGAGATAATTGGTTGACCTTACAGATTCATGAAATGATTGAGTGTCACGGGGCTGCCAGGGAACGCCTTTGAGGAGCGGGAACAGTCAGAGGGAGATAGAGAGGAATTGAAGGATGGGGAAGAGGGAGAGAGCCCGGAGGCAGGAAGGCTCTCCGATGCTGAAGCAGAGCCCTAGCACCTCACAGGAAGTTGAGGAACAGATGGAGAGCCTGTGCCGTCTGCACAGGAAAGGAGAGGGGTAAAACACAGGGATCAGAGACGTCCCCACCTTTTCTGTTGGAGGAGAAGCCAGAGAAGACCACTCTCCGAATCTGAACCGGACAATTCGGATGCATGATTGTAATGTGCTGCTTGTACATATGTAAAATAAAGAACTGTAAATATCTCTCTGAGTGAGCAGAGGGTGCTTATTGCAAAGAGCATACACATTGAGACACTGCTTTGTAAAGCACTTGGAATGCTCAGTGCTTTTAATAGTCCTTTTTTCTGCCTTTCTGCTTTTGTTTTTTAGCACTTGAAACAACAGACACTTCAGTCGTAACAGAAGCAGTAGAAGTCCAAGTTTCTAGAGAGAAATCATTAGAGGTTTGCATTTCTTTCTTGTTTTACTTTTCTTTACTGAAGATTTTTTCTTTCTTTCTTTTTTTAAAAAAATACAGTTTTTTAGGAGCATGTCTATCAAAGGCATGATTTCTATATTGGGATAGCTAAATGAAACCGCCTTGTTCCAGGGCAGTATCGCTCTTAATAGCGGACAATGGAGGCAAGCAACCATGGACAGCTGTAACTTTGATGATCTGCTTGGCATCTTCCCTGACGCATCTCGGCTGGCTGCTGTTCAGAACAGAATGCTGGACTAGTTCCACTTTCAGTCTTGATCCAAGATGGAAATATTTACTTTCTCATCTATTTCCTCTCCTCCTCTTAGTTGCAGGTAGAAATACCTGATCAGAAGGAAGAGAGCTTCATGCCAGAAACAGACAGACATCCTGGTATCGAAGAGGGTGAATCAGGTAGTTAACAAATAAATACTCCTGCCTTGTTGTCTCTGGCAAACAGTTGACTAGTTTGCATGGGATGGTTTACAGGCCAATCTGATTTAGAAAAAAAATATGTACAAGGTTTCAGCACTCAGCACTGAAGACTAAGTCTTCAGAATTTTTTTTTTAAAGGGTTAAATTTATTTTGCAGGTCATGTTCCAGTGTGTCAGATTTTGGGAGAAGACGCAGAAGAAAGCCAGTATTTTGAAGCCAGAGCAGAATCTAATACGGTATACTTTAAATCTGTTTACAGATATATTACTTCTCAACATAACTGCTTGAAATGCTTGCTCAAAGCCACATTCCCCATAACGGGTGCAACAGCATCCATTAATTCTCATTACTGTCAATGCAATCAGTCGTGGAACGTAGGATCAAAAATGTAACAAAACAACAACATAAGCACTTCTCAGAGAATCTCTCGTCCCTTATAGACAGCTGCCTTGTTGTAGCTTTCCTCAAAGTAAACTGCAAATGAGCTTCCTAGAAGACAGTTTTACCTTCAGCCTTTTCCGTGACGTCTCTTTTCAAACCAGCTTTAGGGTCGTAGTTTGGATTGACATATTTACTGACAGATGAGCATTTTCTTTAAATTCTTTCGTGATTTATAGTAGTTTCAGAGATAATTAAAGACAGTGCAGCTGGTATTTTCTCTAGAGATTAATTTCCATGGTGCTTGGGCAAGCTATAGTTTCTCCCACTCCAGTCGCTCACCCATCTGATAGGCTTTCTCGATTCCACATCAGCGAACAATCCATCCAGAGCATGTAGGAGGAATTAATCCCATGTTGCATGTGTTACGCAGAGATAAGAACGACAGATAAACTTTGCTGTCAAGTCACCACTTAATTACACCTTTTGGAAGCTTTTTGGAAGGAGATGTGGCTCCTCCTCAGAAGCGGCTTATCAGTTATTTCTGTCAGAATAATTTACGTAACTAGTTGTGGTGGCAACCTTTAAATGTAGTAGTTCACAATGCCGTTCTGTTAGTACTACAGCATGCAGTATTTTAACATGTTTTATAATTTCATAGGAAACAACTTCCAGGGACTCAGAAGATACCCTTGAAGGTGATGCCAAGTCTCTGCAACCTTCATCAGAAACTGCAGAAGGAAAAGGTAACATCAGAGTTGCAGAATTTTCCTGAAAGGGTTAGAAGACACCTTTCATTTTTGGGGAGGGACCAATGAAAGCCTTTGTTGGTGTTGGGTTGGCAACCCCAGTTCTTTTCTCTTTTTTGGCCAATTAATTTTTATAAGTTTTCCAAATTTTTAACAAATTAATTCAAATTTGACACAAATGTAAAAATTGACCTCTATCCCCCCCTTTCAAGGCATCTTTTCCCTCTCTCCTTTGCTACTCACAGTAAAATGCTTTTTCTTAATTTCTAATACTTTTCCATCCATTCCTATTTCCATCGACTGTGCATGTTCAATTCCTGCTTAAACTTTTCTCTGACTATTTTCCTAATTAATCAAATAGAGTTAATCTTCCTTTATCAATCCATATAAATCATTAATCATAATTTTAAATCATATTTCTTCCAATATAACTTGACACAATATGTCTTTACACATTTGCAACATTCTAATTAACAGTACTCAAGTTTTACAGACTCCAGAAACATCTCCTGGTCCACCTTGTTATGCAGTCCCCTTTTCAGAAAACAGACAACCCCAGCTCCAAAGAGCCTCCTTCCTGCTGGATGGAGAATAGTCCCCCCATGTCTGGACCACAGTCTAGTGAATAAGTAGAACTGCTGCTCCTGTGTACAGTCAAACCTCGGTTTTCGGACATCTCGGCTGCCAAACATTTCGGAAGCCAAACACCAAAAACCCGGAAGTGAATGCTTCCGTTTTCTAATGCCCCTCAAAAGCCAAACAGCTTCCAAGGCATGTTTCTCAATTTTCCCCATTGAACTTGCTGGCGTCCCTTTGAGCCTCGGTTTTCAAATGTTTTGGAAGTCGAATGGACTTCCGGAACGGATTACGTTGGAAAACTGAGGTTCCACTGTATTTAGCAAATATCCTGCTCCTTTGCATACCTACCCCATAGAACAGGGGTAGGCAACCTAAGGCCCGGGGGCCGGATGCAGCCCATTTGCCTTCTCAATCCGGCCCCTGGACGGTTCGGGAACCAGCGTGTTTTCACATGAGTAGAATGTGTCATTTTATTTAAAATGCATCTCTGGGTTATTTGTGGGGCATAGGAATTCGTTCATTCCCCCCAAAATATATATATATATATATTGCAATATATATATATGAGACAGTGGACTGGCCCAGGGCTGAAAAAGGTTGCTGATCCCTGCCATAGAAGCACAGGTGTATACAGTGATACATGATGCAACAAACTGTAGGATAGGTTATAGCAGCTGCATATTCGTTGATGTTTATCTAGATTGTCAAAGAAGTCGAAATGATGGGGTGTGCTGCAAGTGAAAACCAGGCGATGTACAATTCAGAGGAAGTCACTGGTTTAAGCAATTGCTCAAAAATGATGGTGGGGATTTAATTTGTGTTTTTTAAAAAAATTAAAAAACGTTTTTTCCTGCAGATGAGATTGTTGGCAAAGTGGATATTTGTGAAAAGTCAGATGAGAAATCCAGTGTAAATCCTGTTGAGGCAAGTAACATGGCCTATTCTGATAGTTATTTGAAAGTATACTTTCCTGATGGATGGCTGGTGAAGGGAAGGGAAGATCTCCCAGGATGGGAGGCTGGGAGAAGAAAGGGAGGAGAGAATTTGCTGAATTCTGAGAGAAGTACCCAGTAAGTCGAGTTGCTTCAACCAGAACTGATCCTGTATTCTGTATATATCCTGAAGTGCATGTTGGAATGGTTGTGAGCACTTTTATCTGGAAAGTGCCTCACTAATTGGTCCAAGCAGGCTACTGGGGGCTGTAATAAACCGCAAACCACTCAGAATAGCTCCACTGGTTGACCTTGACACAAATACTAAGTAATTATTATCATTGTGAATAACGTTGGTGCACACCAGAGCTTATAAATGGTTTAACTTTCCTTGGCTATTAAGAATCCATCCCAGCCATGGTTTTGATTTCAATGGGAGAGGAGACTTTAGCGGATTTGTAACTCTCCACTGAAATAGTGAAACTTAAAAGAAAATGTTTGACTTAATCTATGGTGTGTGAGAGAGGTTGGGAAAGACGCTATCATATAATGCGACTATAATGTGAAGAATCACTATTTCTGGACATGTTGTGTTAGTTTTGTGGGCACTAGTAAGTGAAAGCTTACACAGCAATAAATTGGTTAGTCCTTTAATGTAACACAAGACTCTTTGTTCATAATCCAGTTGCCTTAGTGGACACTTTGAGTTGACTTAAACAACATTTGTTTGTCCTTTTGTTTAGGAAAAAAAGCAAGTACCAGTTAAGCGGAAAAGAGGAAGACCCCGTAAATATCCTATTGAAATAATGGCACTGCTTGGTAAGTACAGTGCTGCGTCGCCATGGAAAATGTACTTCAGCATTTCATTAAACTCAGGAGGTTTATTTTTCCTTTCAGGTCAAGTTTCAGAAGCTGACTCAAGAACTGGAAATGTAAGCATTTGGATGGATATTCTGTTTGGATGCTCACATATTGTGGGATTGCTGGCTCTCTGTGGAACACTCTCTTATATTTTTTTCAATTGCAATAACACAACATTGGCCAGGATCCCATGGGCTATTAAGCTGGTTCCCTGAGCTCAAGGCATTACCCTTGTTTTCTCCCACACTATAGCGGATTATTTTTTAAATGGAGGGCACCTTCAAAAATAGTTGTGATATTCAGATAACTCAAGATTTCCAGTGGGTTGGTGCATATTTTCTTTTTTTTGTCACCTGCCTTGGAGGTCTGTTGTCAGGCCAGGAAGGCAGCATATAAATAACTAGATGAAATACCTTGCCTGTATTTTCTTCATGCTATTATTTTTATATCCCTCACTTTCTCCCAAAGGCACCCAACACATCAATAACAATATCATTAAAAACAGTTGAAAAGCAATCAGGTTCTCTCACTCCATTATTTCAGGGTTGCCAGTATCTTTCATCCACCAAATGGCTGGGAAAACAGGAATGTTTTTAAATTCCTCCTGAAAGCCAGTAATGAGGAAGAAGAAGAAGCCTCACTCGGCAGGGCAGTCCACAAATGGGCACTGACATGGTCAGCCCCCAGTGGAGGCACCAACAAGGTGTTTGCCTGTTTGCCACAAGGCATGAAATCTCTGTGGAAGGAAGACATAACTGCTCCTGCATAAAAGAACTTTTAAACTGGGGGTATGAATTGGCCCAGAACATGTCATATACTGGATCACTGCAGCACTTAGTGATTGGCAGCTGAACGTGTGAGCTTCATTGAAAGCAGTAGTTTGCCAGCCTACAGAAAAGTCAACTGTAGATTTCATGGCAAAGCCAGGTTTGTTGTTGTGCGATCTGAGAAATGGTCTTGAGTTGTAAAATGTACTGCATATTAGATTTTTGCGGGTCTTTGGACCCTAACAAAGAATGTGCTTGTGCATATTAGATTATTTTATTTTTATTTGCATTAACTGAAGAAACAGTATAGCCCTCTTCAGGACTTATCACCTTAAGAGAGAACGCATGTAGAGATTAAATTCAAATACGCACCATTCCCCCTGCCCCCACCCAGAGGCACCTGAGGTTTTTGGCACTTTCACACAGTAGAGAGCCTTGCATATCTGCGGAGGCCACTCATGGGACTAGGAATCCTGATCTTCCAGGGTTCCCACTCTTGCAAGGAGCCTCCATAGATCTGCAAAGCTCTGTGCTGCAGAAATGCACTGTCAATGTCTGAAGGAGTCGGGAGACATGTGGCTTCGTTTGGGGGGGGGGGAGAGATCTGTCCTCACAACCCCATTCAGTGGGTGTTTCCTCTTTGAGTGATAAGACCTAAACAGGGCCTGAAAGCAGTCTTTTAATTTTTCTAATCCTGCACTATAGAAATATACTGCTATTTTTGTTTTTAATTAGATGCAGCAGTCTTCAGGTTCTAGCAGTAGAGAGATGATTACTCCAAAAGGTAATTATTCCCAAAAAAAATTCTCTTTGGAAAGGAAGAAAGATTGGAAAGGATGAGGTGCGTCTGTAACACAGCCATTTTTCTTGAAAGAGTTACTACTCCAAAAATTCAGATATAGCCTTATACAGTGGTACCTCTGGTTACAAACTTAATTCGTTCCAAAGGTTCGTTCTTAAACTGAAACCGTTCTTATCCTGAGGCGCGCTTTTGCTAGTGGGGCCTTCCGCTGCGTGCGTACGTCCAGCACACAATTTCCGTTCATATCCTGGGGCAAAGTTGGCAACCAGGAGCAGCTACTTCCGGGTTAGCAGAGCGCATAACCTGAAGCATTCGTAACCAGAGGTACCACTGTATAAACTCTTGTGGATCTACAAAACAATGGTGCATGCAAAGACCTTCCCCCGTCTATTTCAAAGGTGAGTAAAACACTTTGTCCAGCTTCCAAGTGGACTGATTTCAGTGGCATTGACATGGATGCCAGAGATTTCCCACTTCTGTGAGTAGGGCAGTTTCGGGTGCTTGGGTCAAATGGCAAAGTAACCCTGGTGACTCACTGCTTCATACACTGTTCCAGTAAGATTTTGAAATGAAGCAACTGCATGATTTACTCAGGCTGCTGGCATGGGAAGTAACCAATTGCATCCACCTTTTTACCAGACTGTAGCATTTACAACTAACATCAAGCATTTCAAAATCCTGAGCTGCCTTCTGTTTGCCATTGGTTGACATCTCTGTGAGAAATAACTTAATTTTTGCTTTATTATGCTGTGGCGAATTTTAGAAAGAAATCCTTTTTTTTTTTTTCTAAGTTCCTTGGTCATTTAAGTTTAATTTTAACTTCATACGAAAAGTGACGGTTATAACAGTTTGTGTGTTCAGAGTTGCAGTTTATGTAGAGTTCTTAACACATTTTTTTCTTCCTTTTTTAGTCAAAGGTTCATTGAATGAGAGACACAAAGTAAGTTCAAGATCTTTTAGTGCAAATTGTTTTCCACTTTGATCCTAAAAATGTTTGATTTTTGTGGAGTTGTATAATTTAGCTTAGGGTCATTTCTCTAATGAAAACTGTTTCATTGGAATTGAGTTACTGAATGAAACCAAGGTCCATCGTTTCCAGGTTTCTGTCTTCCAGCATAATGAAACAATATGCCTCTGGGTGCTTATGAGTAGGGCATAAAAGGAAGGCATCCTCCATCCTCAGTCCTTAGAATTTTTCAATCCTTGATACATTGCGTCTGAATGTAAAGGCTCAAATTAAGTTGCTGGCAATATCAGTGCTCACACTGACACCTGAAAAAATATAGATGAGGCAAATGGAGTCTTGGTTCCTTGGAGATCAGGAGACAACATTTCTTTTACCTTGCTCCTAGAAAATCTTGCTCGTTCCTAGGTTTTGCAATACAGTGGCACCTTGGTTCTCAAACTTAATCCATTCCAGAAGTCCGTTCGAAAACCAAGACAAGCTTTCCCATATAAAGTAATGCAAAATGGATTAATCTGTTCCAGACTTTTAAAACAACCCCTAAAACAGCAATTTAACATGAATTTTACTATCTTAATGAGACCATAGATCCATAAAATGAAAGCAATAATCAATGTACTGTACTATAAAATAAATAAGACAGTATTGTAGATGATAAAAATTTAAATTACAATTTTTTCTTACCTGCACTGATGATAGTCATTGTTTGGAGGGGGGGGGCTTTTATTCATTTCCGCAATCACAGAATCGATCAGTAGCTGAACTGGGTTCCACACAGTCACAAAAACAAATTAACCAAAAAAGCCTCAAAAACCAAAACTCAAAACAAATAGCAAAAACAAAAGCGCCAAATTTAATCCAGTCTGGAAGTGCGTTTGACTTGTGAAATGTTTGAAAACCAAGGCGCAGCTTCTGATTGGTGCAGGCGCCCCAGAAACAATAGCTGACAGCCACATTAGATGTTTGGCTTCCGAAAAACGTTTGCAAACCAGAATGCTTACTTCCGGGTTTTTGGCATTTGGGAACCAAGGCGTTTGAGTACCAAGGTACCACTGTATGCCTTACTATACACCTGATCATGGGTAGCAGTCATTCAGCAATTTGTCATCTATAAGCTTTTCTAATTCTTAAAAAAAAAAATTAAAAATCCGCATCTTGTTGCATGTTTCCCCTAAGTGACGTATGTATTTTGTGAACAAGTACATAAATAGAGTGTGCTGCAATATGTTCCTCTCCTCTCCGTACTGTCAATAAATTTATAAGCCCTCTTATGAGTTCCCCTTGTCTTTTTTTTCTCAGCCAGAAGCCCTGTATGCTTTCAATTTCTTTACTGTTTCCCCCTTTACTTCCAACTTTTAGGAAGCTAAAGAAGGGGAGGCAGAGGTGGCTGTGCGTCGAAGGGGAAGGAAGCCCAAACGACCTCTAATTCCACCAGAGGAAACAGGTAAAACATGGAGGTTCTGCTTCTCTTAACTTTTTCTATTGTTTAAGGTGCATGTTAGCTTATACAAATATCAGTTTTATTATCCTTTATTCATCGAGGGGAAAATCATTGGGTTATGGCTAAAGTAAATATTATGGGGAAATGTGCAAATTGCTGTAATCTCATGTCAGGAATGGTACATCCCAGCTGCTTGCCTACAACCTCTTGGGTTTTCTATGAATTCTGGCTGTGAACTAAAGAAGTAAACTATTGTAAATGTTTTTGGAGAGATTTTAAACAAGTATGCATTAAAATGCTACGGAAATGGAAAATTACTTACTCCACTCACGGGGTCCATTTAGAATTCACCTTCTAAAGTAAGTATCCATATCCCTTCTGGAGGCTTGGGTGGAAATTTGAGTGTGTTTATAAAATTTTGTAGGGAAGGACACACTTGAGCCAGACAAAAAACGTCAGAAACTAACACTTGCTGTTGAAGAGGAGACAAAAGACAAAGATGAAAAGGATGAAAACAAGGAGAGTGGCGATAACGGAGGGGAGGACAGTGACAACAGTGATGATGCTGACGAAATACATTCAGGGGCCACAACACGGTCAGCCTCAAGATTGGAAGCACAAAGGTAACGTTGGCTCTCCAGAGACTTGGGCAGTGGGCTAGATGCGTCACCAAGCATGGAGGGCTGTGGTGGGAATGGAAGAAGTCCAGAGCGCCAGTGGATGAGCAGACACAACCTTGTACTTCTTTGAATCCTGGCCTCTGACTCCAGTCATTAATGAATCCATCCCAAATCCAGTTCTGCCTCATCTTTCTGTATAAAAATATAATAAAGGCATTTTGTTTGTGATCCCTACCTACCAAAACTTTTGCTCAGCTGTTGCTTATGGAAAAAATGATGAGACTTTCTATATATTCCATATTCATACTTCCATTTTATTGCTAAATTACTCTAGCCAACCTGCTTCTTCAGGAAGCAAATTTGTCTTACAACCTTCCCTCCCTTGGTGATCTCTTAGCATCTTGGGTGCATATATTTTTACAGTTAAGTGGTGTATAATTTTTTTGAAATAAATAAATGTATTCTAGACCCATGAAGGCTTCACGTCTAGCAGTCCAAACTTTATTGCAGAAACTGACTCCCTGGGTAGGAGTCAGAGAGGTTTTGCCACATCATTAGTTTTTGACTAATAATGTGTCTCTTTCCCCAACTCTCTGTCTCACTCACATGTGTGGATGCACACACTGGAGGATACAGTAGCTAAGGGACCCAAGGGTCATCTAGTCCAACCCCCTGCAATGCGGGAATCTCTACCAAAGCATGCATAACAGATGGCCATCCAATCTCTGCTTAAAAACCTCCAGTGAATGAGAGCCCACCACCTCCCGAGAGAGTTCGTTCCACTTTCAAACAGTGCTTACCGTCAGAAAGTTCTTCCTGATGTTTAGTTAGAATCTCCTTTTCTTATAACTTGAAGCCATTTGTTTGGGGGCCTACCCTCCAGAGCAGGAGAAAACAAGCTTTGTTCCATCTTTTATGGGACAGCCCTTGATTAGAGGAGACTGAGAGGAGATATGATCGCCATCTTCAAATATATCAAGGCTAAACATGCTCAGCTCCATCAACCGTTCCTCCTAAGGCTTGGTTTCCAGACCCCTGTTCATCTTGGTTGCTCTCCTCTGCACACATTCCAGCTTATCAATATCCTTCTTAAATTGTGGTGCCCAGTATCAGCAGTTCCACATTAAAATCATTCCTACTCCACAGTAGGAATGGACCATGTTGTGTAATAGGAAATGTATATAACAAAACTCTGATGGCAGTTCTGTTAGGTCAAAAGAAAAGGCCTGGAGATCACATCCTTTGTACCTGAAGGTCTCAGGCTCAGTCCCCAGCAGCTTCAATTAAAAGGATCTCTAGCAACAAGGCTTACAAAGTCACGATCATCATTTTATTTGTATGCCATCTTTCTATAGTTAAAACCATGCTCAAGGCAGCTTAAAACATGAAAATATTTACAGTTACAAAAGGAGTCATAAACAAAAACATCAAAAAGTACACAATAAAATCGAGCCATTTCCACATAAATCATCAGGTCTAAAAATAAAGATACTAAAAATAATATCAATAACAGCAACAGAAGCCCCCTAAACAATACCCCAGCCCAAGAGTCTGTTCAGCAGACTCAGCTTTTGCAGCTGGAGTCAGTCCGGGCCCTGCCTTCCCAGGCCAGGTGGCAAAAGGGCCAGCAAGGCAGGAATCCGGTCTTCCAGGACTTATAGCCAAGATGGTCAGCTCAGCTCAGACCTGAGAGAGTCAGTGCCTGTACTGAGTTAAATGGACTAGTGGACGGAATCTGTTTAAGGCAGCTTTCTATGTTAGCATAAGGGACCAATTTAGAAGCAGTGGGCTGTGCAAGCTCAACTCTGCCTGCCTGCCACTTCCCCACTCCAAACCACCACCACCCCTGCTGTTTCTCCCTCTGCTAGGATTCAGGTCCTTGCTTGTGATCAAAACAGAGACTTAGCAGTCTGACTGTCACATTTAACTTCAGAAAGCAGAATACCTCAATCCCAACATGAGACTGCCGAGTATTGCTACTTGCTTTGGAACGGCCAGTGTAAGAGTGTCTCTGAAAGCACAGATTCATTTTTAATTTTTGTGCTACTTTATTATATTTGCTAGGTAACCCGTCCTGTTTACATATGCTTATCTGCTCATTTTTTCAGAAAGCAGCCCAGCAAGCCCACAACACGAGCCACATCTAAAAATCAAAGCCCTGGTGCAGTTCCTCCTCCAAACCATCGAAAGTTAGCAGGGAAAAAACAGTCACCTGCCGTTGCAAAATCCAATAAATCTCCTGGGGCACAGTAAGTATGGAAATGAAAGCCACTTCTAGTTTGTGAATATCTCTACGCCGTCTTCTCCAGAGTAATTTCACCGTGCTTTTTGGTTTGTTTTTCAGTTCAAGGTTACAGCCCACCAAGCGCAAAAGAGAAGCCAGTCCCATGGTGTCGCCTAAGAAAAGTCACCAGAGGGGCGATGAACCTGAGGCGAAGAAGTCCAAGCGATAGTTTTGCCCCACGCCAGACAAATGGGGAAGGGAAAACAAACAAACTCTCCTCTGCTTCTTTGTAAAACAGAGAAGCTTTGCATGCGCTTGTTTCCAAGGTATAACATGTTACCTATGTAACATATTTAAACAGCTTTATACACTATTTGTTTATGCAGAAGTCTATAAGCATTGCAAAAGTTTACTTTGAACCTCAAGTAGAGATGGTCGAGAGTGACTCGCTGATGCTTCCAATCTGCTCATCACCAGTGGCCTCTTAATGACACCCTTTGTACATAAGCCACATATTTTAAAGAAGAATGTATTTTACTGCGTATGAACTTAATCAAACAGCAAGGACTGTTCTGCGGGCTGTTCTGATGTTATCTTACGTTGGTCATTTTAACTGGATTCTTAAATGTTGTGCAGCCATCATTAGCATTGTCTAGGGCGCGGGAAGGGACTCCTTTTCAGTGAACTCAACAAATCTCTGATTAACTGGCAAAGTACTTTCCTGCATGTATTCAAGTCAAGTAGAATTAGTATAAGGAGGAGACTTTACTTTCTTTCCTCACACTCGTGGCTTTCTGTATGGTAAAAGTTTAAAAACTGCATTTACAGTGCTTAGTAAATGCACCCTATTCACTTGGAAATATATTATCATCTGTAAATTTTATCCCAGCGTCAAAGTAGTTAGAGTTCATTCAGATAGAACTAGACCCCTTCAGCTGAAACAGTGGAAACTGTCTCATTTTGAAGCTTCTAAATGTTTTTCTCTCAGTATTTCTCTTTTTCAATTGAAACACTGAAATTAAAGTATCACCTTCAGGATTTAAAGATCTTCACCATTTATCTCACACTTTATATACTAGTATTAAAAGAGAATGTAGCGCCTGGCCCTGCTGCCAGAATCATTAGTATACTTACATTTTACTCTCACAAAAACAAATCTTCAAGTTCGGTTTCATGTAAAGTTTTGGGGTTTTTTTTAATTATTATCAGAATTTGTCTCTTGCAAAGATGTGGTAAGTTGCCAAATAACCTGAGATTATTTTAAAATGTTCATATTCATGTTTTATAACCAAATTCAGCATTCTATGTTTTTTAATTTGTTTTCTTTTTGTTTTGGGGACTTTTATTGTTGTAATGTGATTTTTTCTGTCAAATATTCTACTTTGTTTCTTACTGAATTTTTATATATAAATTATAAAACGTTTCCCAAAACTAGAGTCCTGTATCTTTTTTAAGTCGCTAGATTAACTTTTTCAATGGGTAAGAAAATTTTGTTACCCGTATTTGTCGCTCTATAACACGCACCTGACCATAACACGCACATCGTTTTTAGAGGAGGAGAACAAAGGGGGGGGAATTCTGAATGAAACAGTGGATGTATCATTTTTGTGCCTCGTGCTGTGGCCACAGACATGTGATCTGATGGTGAATTTGGGGTGACCCAATGCAAAAATCCTGAGAATCCCTGTTAATCTGTGCTTTGTAACCACGTTTTTGCACCATTGCGGCCCCAGGCAACAGTGGGTGCGTGATTTTTTTAGTACAGGCTGTAGCCATGGACATGCTATGTGATCTGATGGTGAATTTGGGGTGACCCTATGCAAAGAGCCTGAGGATCCATGTGGATCTGTGCTTTGTAACCACGTTTTAAGTGGGGAGGGAAGGAAAAACACAGAAGGGACAAGGAGCACGAGAGGGGTGTGCAGAGAAGCAGCTGGCTAAGAATGCAGGAGAGGGGTTTAACGGGAGGGAGGAAAGGAAGGCAAAAGTTTTCCCCCACCCACCCAAGCCAGCCCTCTCTCTCTCCCACCTGAATGTTTTCCGGCTGCCTGCGAGTCCCTTAAATGCTTCCCTGGACGCAGCAGCACCGGAGCACGGAGTGGAATTAGAAGGAAGGACGCGATCCTTTCCTTTTCCCTCTGCTTGCCTGGAGGGGAGGGGATTTCCCTGCTCTTTGTTCCGTTTGAGCAAACAGCAACCGAAACAGAAGTGGGTGGGCAGTAAGACCCTGAGGCAGAATGCAGGAAAGCAACAGCTTCCTCTCTTCAGGCGTCCCTCCTCCCTGACGCACGATTGGATTTTTGCCCCTGCACTCAGGCCAGTCGACTCCAGGGACCACACATTCGCTCAATAACACGCACAGACATTTCCCCTTTTTAGGAGAAAAAAATCTGTGTGTTATCGATAGAAAAGTACAGTATGTTCAAAGGACACTATCCAAATGACATTTAACTCTCTTTAAAATTGGGAAATTGAGAAGCACAAGGTGTTCCCTCCTCAGTTGAAATCACAGGGACTCAGTGGCACTTAGTGTTGGATGGATTGTGCCCTTAATGTGTAGATTATTGTAAAAATGCACAAACAGACGAGAACAGAGAGCATCATGGTCATAGATTCTTCGGCACTGTTAATAAAAAAAAATGGCAGATAAAGATGATTAATGACATTATGGGGAGCAGCCACAGGTTTCATCCTCAGTCTCAGACTAAGACAGTCCTGCAGTTTTCAGCTTATCTATCACTCCCCCTGCTAATCCTTTGATTGGTTCAGATGCTAGGAGATCCTCCACACACCAGTTTGGGGGAAGTAACATCTGACCCAGCATATTTCTGAGCACTCTTTCCTGGTGCCGACATATACATGCACATGCAAAGCAAGTACAAAGCCACAAAGTAACCCTGCCCCCAGTAAGACGGGGAAATGAGCACACCAGCTACCCAGGTGAGCTTCACTAAGTGAGCTTTACCATCTCTTGCCTACTGGCCTCCTGTTTCTTGTTCTTCTGCTGAAACTCCAGGTGCCTAAGTTGTTTGGCCTCTTAGAGATGACCTAGAGCTGCTGCATGCTCCTGTCTCTTGGGTCAGGGCACTCAATTGCTGCATTGTGTGGCAGGATTTGGGCTGGTTCTGATGCAAGTCAGCACAGAGACTCGAGCAGTAAAGTTGATTCTTTATTCAAGGAAATACAGAGAAACCTACGGGCAAGACTGACCCCAGTAAAGCAGTTGCCAGAACTGTGCCTCTCACTTCCCCCTAAGTCTCCTCCCCGGCCGGCTGTTTCCCCAGCAGTCTTGAGCTCCATTGGGGAGGAGGGCCGTGCTCTTTGCTCTGCTACATGCACTGACCTGTGTTTTCTTGGAGACAAGGGAGGAGGGAATCTGAATACAGTGTGACCCGCAGGCTCCTGTGAATCTATTGCAGCCTCAGCCTCCACCTTCTCAGCTGCCTATCCTACATCTGCAGTGCTTTCTGCCTCTGGGATGGGATTAGCCAGAGAAAGCGGTGGGTGGGGGTGGGCAAAAGCAGTGGTCCTGGGTAAAAGGCTGTATGGTATGAGAGGGGCAAACCCGGCAAGGGGCACACAGCACAGTTGGGGGTTGTGCCATATGTGGCCGCTAGCCAGAGGAGTTGTGGTTGATGTATTAGCCCTCAGGCCTGACGATACTTCTTTTGAATGCCAGGTTGGTTTTAAATAAGAGCTCTCTCATTCATGATTTGATTGTGGTTAAGGAGACTGACAGGGACGCGGGTGGCGCTGTGGGTAAAACCTCAGTGCCTAGGACTTGCCGATTGTATGGTTGGCGGTTCGAATCCCCGCAGCGGGGTGAGCTCCCGTCATTCGGTCCCAGCTCCTGCCCACCTAGCAGTTCGAAAGCACTCTTAAGTGCAAGTAGATAAATAGGGGGAAGGTAAACGGCGTTTCCGTGTGCTGCGCTGGTGCCGGTTTGCCGGAGCAGCTTCGTCACGCTGGCCACGTGACCCAGAAGTGTCTTCGGATGGCGCCGGCTCACAGCCTCTAGAGCGAGATGAGCACGCAACCCCAGAGTCGGACACAACTGGCCCGTACAGGCAGGGGTACCTTTACCTTTAAGGAGACTGACCTGGTAAGTGTTACTGAGACCTGGGTGGGTAAGCAGGGTGGGTTTGTGGGGAATTAAATACATGAATCCCTGTGGACCCACATGTGTGAGAGAACAAAAAAAATAGCTGGGTCCCTGCACACAGGGAGCCCCAGTAGCAGAAAAATAAGCAGTACAGTGGTACCTCAGGTTACATATGCTTCAGGTTACAGACTCCGCTAACCCAGAAATAGTACCTCGGGTTAAGAACTTTGCTTCAGGATGAGAACAGAAATCGTGCTCTGGCGGCACGGCGGCAGCAGGAGGCCCCATTAGCTAAAGTGGTGCTTCAGGTTAAGAACAGTTTCAGGTTAAGAACAGACCTCAGGAACAAATTAAGTACTTAACCCGAGGTACCACTGTACAGTGAAGTGTTAAGAATGCAGGTTATTAAACCTTTCTATCCCATTCAGTGGGACGCAGGTGGCTCTGTGGGTTAAACCACAGAGCCTAGGACTTGCCGATCAGAAGGTCAGCAGTGTGACAGGGTGAGCTCCCGTTGCTCGGTCCCTGCTCCTGCCAACCTAGCAGTTCAAAAGCACCTCAAAGTGCAAGTAGATAAATAGGTACCGCTCCGGCGGGAAGGTAAACAGCATTTCCGTGCGCTGCTCTGGTTCGCCAGAAGCGGCTTAGTCATGCTGGCCACATGACCCGGAAGCTGTACGCCGGCTCCCTCGGCCAGTAAAGCGAGATGAGCGCCGCAACCCCAGAGTCGGCCACAACTGGACCTAATGGTCAGGGGTCCCTTTACCTTTATCCCGTTCAGCTGCACAGAGCAGCCGACCTCTTTCTACCCCTCTTGCAATGAGCAGGCCACACACTGTTAAGTACATTTAAAATGCTTTACTTACAGATTCAAAGTTTCAGTCATTTAGTAGCAAGGAGAAACACAGGCAAAGTTCTATTGGGTAGAAAAATACAGTATATAGCTCCAGACACATGCTCTAAGCTTGGGAGCAAGCTTACACAGGTCCTCCTTGATGGATTACATGATGCAGAAAGTGAGAGAGGAATGAGAAAGGCTTCACTTCCTCCCTCTCTGGAGGAGAGGGAACATGACTTAGTTGAGTCTTTCTAGCAATAAACTCTGTGGTCCTTAACCCCTTCATGCACTAATTAGCAGTCCTGCATAGTTATGTTTGACTGCAATCTCCCACAAGGTTGGCCTTGCTCAGCTGTGCCTCCTCAGGTTACTCAGTCCTTCATCAGAGCAGGCTTGAGGGTTGGAGGGGTTGGGAGTTGCTGTAGTCTGTAGGAAATTCATCTCTCTCTTGAGTGGGCATCTAGCGTGTCTGTAACTGGTGCTGGGGAATATGAACTGATTAGGGATTCTGCTGGTTTACCTGTGACTTAAAGGCACACATACCTTTGTGGCTCTGGTGTGTTACAGTGAAGGAGAATGAAAAATAAAGCATTAACAATACCCAGCTCCCCCCCCCCCAACAATGAGGGGGTAGTTTTTTGCTGTTATTGTGTTGCTTACTTATCTCAAAAAGGCACTTGAGTTGAATTTTTGGTAACATGTAAACAGGCAAAGTTCATTTTGGGGAATCCACCGCTGACAAACAATTGGGAGAAGAGGCAGGAGGGACATCCTGGCAGGAGCCATGGATAGCAGGAGTGGAGCCAGGTGAAAGTCAGCACTCAGGGAAGTAACTGACTCCCAGGTCAGCAGCAACTGAGCAGGCCTTCAGACAGTTACTGACAGGGATGAGTTTCCGCCTCCAGTTTTGAACATTCCACAGAAGCAGCAACCAAGGCCTACTAGGAAATCACTTTAATGGCCCACCATTTTGCATGAAGTTCAATTAATTGGCTAATCAGTTAAAAGGCGGATCAACTTAAAAAGAGATCACCAGACTTACTTTGAAGTATCTTGACTTGGGTTCTCTATACCCCATGCACCTATCCTGGAGAGGAAACAGTTTAGCCAGAACCTGCCTTTCAACACCGTTGAGAAAATTAGTTGAAAGGACTGGTTATCCAAGCTCAGACATATGTATCGCATCACTTAAACAGTGCAGGCAATCTACATTTCCTTCTTTCTTTTTTTCAGTCCCAGGTGCCAGGAAGCAATTGAACACTACAGGGGAATGCCAGATCAATTAGGTTTTGAGTTTTATTGTGACTTGTCACACATGTGATGCAATAATTTCTCTCTAAATGTCAAAGCTCATTAATGTGAGTGAGGAAGAAGAAATACAGGAAAGGGGTAATGGTTAACAATCACATGCATAATAGTCTGTCACCATTTTCAAGTCTAAAAAAAATAATTCTGGCTCAATGCCCCAAGAAAGCAGAAAGCTGGAAG